ATTTATAGTGGATTTTCCCATTAAAAATGGTGATTTTCCATAGCTATGTTAGTTTACCAGAGGGTAAATGTTATCTGATATTGATGTGCAGGCTAGGTTGCCAGAGCGTATTGCCACGTTCTTGGTGTTTTTTCATGGTGGATTGTGGAGTGAACGAACATCGATATGGAAAAAAACATGAATTGACTAGAGGGTACGGATCTATACCTGGATTTGCTGAAGATTATATTATATGATCTATTTTTAGTTCCCATGGTTAATCAATCCAAAGCAGAAATTGGGGGTGCATCTACTAGGATTATTTGATTCTTTTGGGGACGCTTGAAGCAAATCCAAGTGTATAAATATGATGTATTTCCATCTTGACTGGTGGGTCCCGCATGCTTTCTTCACCCATTTTCTGGGACTTTTTGTTGGGTCAGGGCTAGGAAATCCATCATTGGAACGAGAGCTCGTAAGGAGAATCATCTGCGGCTTTACCATCTGGTTATGACCAACAGTTCGCCATGGAAAATCACCATTTTTAAGAACGGTAATCCATCTATTTCTATGGGCCATCTATACCATGGCAATGTTAAATAACCAGAGGGTAGTTTACTTTGATGAAGTACGATTTAATTTGTTGCTTAGAGATCCCCCTATCATGAATATCCTCCTGGTATCCCGAAAAAAATTAGACTTCGAGCCCATCAATTCCCATAAATCTCCATGCTGGGGACTTTCCAATGCCACAGCCAGAGCACCCGGGGGGCGAAGATGGCAAAGTACTCAGAAATAGGCTGATTTCGAGGTTTGAGTTTCCAAAAATACTGGGATTTCAAAGAGGTACGAAGCTGGTATTCAGATGTATTCAAAGCATATCTAGATGGGAGGTCAAATAAAGTCAAGAATGACGAATCAAGGGTTGGTTTCAGTGGTTTTTCACCACTTGGTTTCATCAACATCGAGCACTCTCATCACTGACACGCCTGCATGTGGCTGCATATGGCTGCAGACTAGGCCTCATTGGTTGTTTCCGATGAGGGGAGGTAGGCTTGTATAACACCCTCGAATAAAAACTGGAAAAGTAGATTCTGATTCTAAAAAGTGGGTTTCTATAAATGGGTGATCCCCAATAGCTGGATTCCCAATAGCTGGATGGTTGATGGACTTTTTTTCCATCCATCCATAAATGATTTAGGGGTACCCCCATAATAATGGTAATCACTGTTCTTTATTTTTTGAGGTTACTATGGCTGTATTATGCCAAACATACTCTTGGTACTCATATTTTTCAGAGGCATCCTTTTCCGACTCAATGTAGTCATCCTCCCAAGGGCCCTTCCCCTTGGTTCGATAGCCTTGAGCCACGGAAGGGGTATGCCCGTTCCGGAACATCATTCTGCACCCGAAAAAGGTGACGAAAGGTTTTAGTCCTGCCAAAATGGTGATAAATTGGACCTTTCTATTGTTTTGTGGTATACTATATCCTCCGGCAATCTAATGCACCAATTGGAAATCCCCGCGCTACAAATGGAGGTTTATAGATTTATAGCTGCGAAAATCTTTGAACCAAATTGTGTGTTTTCCAGCCAGCTATTAAAACTAGCCCAGCTGCTGAACATCAGCATTTTTCAAATCGGTGAATCGATGAATCAACTATAATTTTATTTGGTCATTTTCAATAGCTATGTTGGCTATGTTACTTTACGAGAGGGTAATGAAGGGTACATCTTATTTTTTATCCACGTCAGCTGAGGAGGGCTGATCTCCGGTTGTCAGATGGGAAGCTTCATCAGAGATTCGGAGTGAATTAAGCAATGGGATTTAAGAGATTTAGCAATGGTGATTTCATGGGATTTCATGGGATTTACCATCTGGTTATTTAACACATGGAAAATCACCCGGCTATTAATAGATAAACCATCTATAAATGGGTCATTTTCCATGGCTATGTTAAATAACCAGAGGGTAACTAAGAAAACAGGCGATCTGATGGGATTTTTCATGAGATATTTTCATGGACTTGGAATGACCATAACTCATCCAGATCAATGGACAGTGGCATATATTCACCGCGCTGACCACCGGATGTGGATTCCGATGTGGATCGAATGGGTGTGGGAGGCCGTCCCGGGAATCAAAGGTGGATGACAGCCATTTTTTTGTTTAGTTCATCGTGGAGTATTCCCATGTAATTAATGAAAGCGGTCCTCTACCCCTTCCCCTAGGGTGCACACACACACACGTATATATATATATATCATTATATATATATATGATATAATATATATATATGATATAATATATCTATATGATATTATATATATACATATACATATACACATAGATATAGAGATAATAAATTTCATACTAACTGTGATGCACATCCAAATACTGATGATTCAAGCGCCAGCAGTGGTTCTTGGTGGTCACCTTTTTTGGGGAGAGGGCAGGCAGTGATATGACTAGTTGTAACTCAGCTACTTCAGTGGGTATGGGTCAAAATTGGGTACCCCAGAGAATTGGATGGTTAATACTATACGAAACTCAAATCTGTGGTCTAATAAGGGCTTTTAATTCTGACCCATAGCATCATAGCCATGTAAGGCTGGAGCAAATCCCCAAATCCCATTCTACGAAATTTTCTGGGGTAACATCAATTGTACTTGTCCCCAAGGCCCTATGAGACACCCAAAGCCTTCAGGATTCAATTGGCAACTGGCACATTTTATGACAGGGTGAAAGCATCAGGGACAGTCGTCAGTCACCATTGCGATAAACATGTCGAGTGGGCACGGGTCTATAGCATTCTCCACATGTGTTGCCAATGCTCATGGACAATGCCATGGACCAGGACCGGCACACCCCAGGGGTTTGAAAGCCATTTGGTTTGAAAGGAGCTAAAAGGTTTTGCTGGGCCGCACCAATCACAGGACGCTTGATCTTTCAAGACGCGATGCAGCTGTCAGTTTACCTGGCAAACACGTTTTTTCTTTCATGCGAGCCAAACTGTGGGGGACATGAAGCCGCATCATGGATTGGAGGCCGTGATACCTAGCCTGAACGCAAGGCAGCAGCCCGGACATTCGCCAAGAAAGAACCAACTTGCGAACCAACCAGCAGGCCAACCAACCAATCACAACCAACCAACCAATCAACCAATCAACTAAACAGCCGGATCGATCGATCGATCCATCAGTCACTCAATCAGCCCCCCTGCTGTACCTGGTTCCTCCAGGTCGTTTATTTGGTTGGTTCCCAACCAGGTTCTACCGGTTTGGCAACTGTGTTTCTCCAATTTGCGCATATGGCCCTGAACCAAAATACACCGAACAGGATAATTCTGGTCGAGATGTTCACTGCACCCATTTGCGGGATAGGGGGTTTGTCCAGGGACCCAGTACCGAAATCTACTGGTTTACCATCATTTTCTCACTTCGGCTTGTGGTATGCCCCATTTGAAAGATGATCGAAAATCATATCCAACAAAACCTTCAAGAATTAAGCATTAAGTTGAACAAATTAAGTTTATGGGGTGCCTTTCATATTCGTTTCTCTTGCTTCTGTGCAGCCATCCAGTGAAAGTCAGGGGGGGCCGACAACGCCGTGACAGCGACGTGGAAAACTCCTTAGCAGGCCGGCTTCGCCATCCCACAGTGGTGGCATTCTTTTTCACAGCTTGGGGTTTGATTATCAAATTGCGTGCCACGATAATGCATCTTATGATGTTGATAAGGCAAAATCAACTCGAAACAAACAAGAGCGATTATATACTCAAAGATGGTTGGTCCAAACGATCAAGAGAGTAATAGCCAACCAATCCCATGGTGTTGATAGCCTCTGCGGGTCTGCGGGTATGTCAGTCAGTCAGGGTTGCTAGTTTCAAAAAAGCGCTGGTGAATTGCACCAATTGCACCACTGTTGTGGAACGTATCTGATTTTTCTTGGTTTGGATAGCTGAACCATAAGATTATCAATTGTTTTCCCGAACCTCCGCCTACCACCGATTCGTGCTGGGACAAGATTGAAACACAAACTGTACTGGTAGTTTTGCAACCCCTCAATCATTGAATCAAACCAATATGTTTTGAAATTTCCATTGCAGTTGCTTCACTCTTTATTTTGCTGGTCATGTTTTTTTCCTTGTTGAAATCATTCTTTGCGTGTTATCGCTTAAGAATTGCCCATTTTTGTCGGCGATGTTCAATTTTCCACTTGAAAGCAAATGCATTCGGTAGCCACCTTATATCCCCAGTCACATGAACTACTTAGACAATCCATATTCACAAATGTATATATACAGGTTTATTATCATAAATAAGATAGGACTTTATAATTGCATATCCCCAGCTAGATGTTAGCTGTTAGTGTTTACATGTGTGTATATGTATATATACACATACATATTTTTCCATATTTCCCATCTTCAGAGGTTTGTAAATTTCCTAATTAAACATCACCCAGCCAAAAACGAGATATAATCTCCATCAGGTACTTTTTCAGGTGATGCTCAAACCTCCCGAAAGGGGATTTTCCACTTATTCACATGTAATATATATTCCATGTGATATACATCCATAATTTATATTCCATGTTTCTATGTGCTATATTTCTACGTGCTATATATATATACATACATGTACTATATATATATATACACACACACACTATATTCCATGTACTATATTGCATATACTGCACAGTGGCGTGCATGAATGAAACTCGTCGAATGTTTTTTCATGTAGTAATAAAACTTATTGTTTTTTTTTTCCATGTGCTATATATATATATATATACATACATACTGCACGTGCTATATAATCTCGTAGTATCAAACACCCCCTAAATAGTTCAAATGATGTGGAATTTCCCTACTAAACTATGGTTTCTAGATGTTTCGTTTGGGGGTGTTTATTTTTTTTGGGATATATCGCATAGGCTGAAAATACAATAGATAATCCCCATGAATTAACCAATAGATGGTGAATTCCCAGAGTTTTTCCATTGAAACCCACAGGATGAGGCAGGATGAGGCTCCCCAGTTATAAGTTTGTTTATAAACCATAAGAAACCCCGATTTGAACTGTAGTTATATCTACCATAAACCATAGAATTCAGCCACTTTTTTCAGGCGTTTCTGACTGCGGCAGCCAACGGGGGGCCCCATCCACGCTGGCAACGACGGGTTCCCGCGACGCGCCTCGAGGCCTCACCTGGCAGCTCCGGTTCAACCTTCGGGCCCATTTGGACGCGGTACGCTGTGTGGCCTGGCGCTGGGGTGGCTCGGGAAGCAAGATTTAAAAGGGAATTCAAAAGGGGATTTAAAAGGGGATTTAAACGAGATATGAATGGGATATTAGTGGGATTCAATGGGATATTAATAGGATTCAATGGGATATTTTCATGGATTTTAATGGGATATTCATGGGAATCAACAGAGTTTCTGGAATATATTCTAGGGTTAACCTGGGTAAATTTGATCACGACCTCACGACCGAATGATGGGTTTTTAAAAAGGGGAATCTGGTCAAAATGGCCGAAGTTTTCAGGTCAGTGAATTGAATTCTTTTAATTTACCCAGATTAATGTGGTGAACCCAATGAAAGTGAGTTTATACCAATGATTTTATATACCACAGAGTGATAGTATACCAATGGTATACCAATGTTATTCAATACAAAATAGTTTACACCATAATATACTATTTTCCCCATGATTTCCCAATGAAAGTGAGTTTTTAATGGTGATTCAAAGTGGGATATTATGGCAAAATCATGGGGATAAATATGGATTTTCTTCACCACTGGGAATACTCTTTGGGACAATCGTGGGAATATCATGGCTCACTTCGTGAAATCATGAATAGAATATAACTACAATGTGGTTTTTGCCCAATGCCATAGTCACCATTCCCAATAGAGCTGGTTGGTGGTTTCAAACATTTGGATTATTTTCCATTTCATATATGGGATAATCCTTCCCATTGACTAATATTTTTCAAGATGGTTAAAACCACCAACCCGTATATATATATATAACTTACTATATAAGCACATTCATAAAACGGCAATCCCCCCGGTGACTCACGGATGTTTATTCCGGTTTTTTTCAGGCACTTTTCAAAAATCACATCCATTTTTTGATGTCTCTCGTTATGACCATGACTGGGATGATGCAAAATGACCACACCATGGTTGGTTTAGCAAACGGTGAAAATGGCATTGAAAGCTACACCCCCAGAATGGGGATTCAACGTGATATTCATGCGGATACAACGGGAATCAATGGGGTATACCATATATATATATACACAATAGGCACATATAATATACATAGAATATACGTATATTTATCTAGTTTGTTAAAAACATGTTAACATCAAAAAATATCTGGATTACCCTCAGCAAAGATGGCTGGGTTTCATAAGGCGTTTAGAAAGGTGACAACAATTGAATCAGAAGATGGGTCAACGTTGGTTTTCCTCGGTTTAGTTTAATGTATATATATAGATATATATAAAAAACATAATCCCTGGCTGAAAAATCGCAAACTTTGGCTGACAAAAGCTGGTGAACCTCCATTTTTGCCAGTTCAATCCGTGTTTTTGATTGTCAAATCCACATCTTTGTTGGCAAAATCACCATTATTCATCCAACAACATCAGAATTTCACGGATTGATCACATCTCAACAGTTCTTGGATCACTATGTCAATCTATTTCATGATCGATCACTTTCGCTATAAATCCCATGAAATCACCATTATCCTATGGTTTTCCCATGGTTTTCCTACCACAACAGCCCCATTTTCCTGGGGCCAAACGTGCCTTTCCGTGCAACGAGGTGTGCCTCGACGAGTCGAATTCAGTGCTCTTCTCGAGTGGCGAGGCCTCGATGGTAGGAAAACCATAGGAAAACCATAGGAAAACCATAGGAAAACCATGGGGTAATGGACTTTAATGGGAATCATAATGGGGTTTCAATAGATTGAATAGATTCAATGGGATATTCATAGGATATTAATAGGATTTAATGGGATAGTAACGGGGGAATCAACGGGGGAATCAACCTCGATTAAATGATGCTTGAATGTTGCTTGAAAACAGAAAAGAATTTCCTATGATTTAGGCTTGAGTGGATGTTGGGATATAGATGGAGATAGGCTTTTAGGTTTTTGGAGTTTGATGCTTTATGGTTTATGGTTTTAGGGTTTTAGGCTTTGTTTTTCCTGAAAAAACGAAGGGTTAAAAAGGTTCCTGCAGTATACACATAGTGTTCCGAGTAGAGCGCGGGCAACGTATGGCCCTGTAGCGAAGATGTTTTGAAGAACGGAGAGGCGCTGTTTTTTGGAACGAGTCTCCGTTACATCTCCCGGAGCTACCCTTTGGTAAACATACAAAAAACTATTGAACATGGCCATAGAAATAGTGGATTTACCCATAAAAAATGGTGATTTTCCAAAGTTGCGTAAACGTTTACCAGAGGGTACCTTATCACCAGCATCCAAAAAGCGGCAGCCGAGCGGTCTCTGTGTGTTCAACGTGTTGATGCCAAGATCCACAACTCTGTCCTCAAGGAGATCAGTCTCATCAACTTGATGGCATTCAAGCCACATGTCATCTTTAACCGCCATGGATTAAGGGGTTTTAAGGATTACCCTCTGGTAAACTAACATAGCTATGGAAAATCACTATTTTTTATGGGAAAATCCACTATAAATGGCCATTTTCAATAGCTATGTTAGTTTACCAGAGGGTAAGGGGTTTTAAGCCAGGAAAAGACGGGGGTATTGATATGTATTGATGGCCATGATGGCCGGTTGAGTCAGTGAGTTGGCTCACATATCCGGGTTTGAATGGGGAGTAACCACCACAAAATAGAGGATTTACCCTCTGGTAATTTGTGCCATAGCGGACTGGAAAATCACCGTCTTTAATAGGTAAATCACCTATTTTCATGGGCCATTTTCTATAGCTATGTTAGTTTACCAGAGGGTAGTCAGGAAAACACGGGATATCATTGACAATTTTTTGTTGATGGGTTATGAAAGATGGAATTCGACCATCAAATGCGGTGTTTTTTCATGGAGGCTTAAACTTTTCGCCATTAAATGTATGGGTGTACATTGATGGGTCAAGGTAGAGGGTACGGGGTTCTAAACCTACCTGGTTTATTGCTTATTCCTATCCGCAATGAACAGGATGCCTACCAACCAGTATAATGGGATGAGATGGTGGTATGAAATCACGGCGGTGCTATCCACTCACAATGTGACACTAGCTTGGTTATGCACTCATAGTTGAAACAGTTGGTCTACCCTCTGGTAAACTAACATAGCTATTGAAAATTGCCATTTATAGTTGATTTTCTCATTGAAAATCGTGATTTTCCATAGTTATGGGACAGTTTACCAGAGGGTAACCTGAAAAATGACCGATTAGGATATGGCCCTATGGGTGGGGCTGCAAAGGTTCAGGGGATTCAGTGATATTACCTTTCTAGTATTTTTTGTATAGCTATAGGAACTTATTGCACACCTACCCTCTGGTAAACGTTTACATAGCGAACTGGAACATCACATTTTTTTAAAGGTAAATCAACAACAAATGGCACTTTTCAATAGCAAACTGTTAGTTTACCAGAGGGTAATTAGTTATGATAATGACACGTTTTTTTTCCCGCTGTTGATCTGATCAAAACCTGCTTATGCCATGAGGTGGGGATCACATTGACCACATGAATGTTCACCAGGGGAGGGGTGAAAATCCCATTACATACTTCCATGAATTTGATTATATCATTATTACCCTCTGGTAAACTAACATACCTATGGAAAATCATCATTTTTAATGGGTAACTCCACTATAAATGGTCATTTTCAAGAGCTATGTTAGTTTACCAGAGGGTATTGGAATTATATCCCATTAATCCACCATTAATCCATATACGGTGAAGTCCGATCATTGATGATCCATTTTCACATCATATTGATAACATTCGACAACCATTAATGGAATACCAATATTACCCTATAACCATTTGATAACCATTGATTCACCAAATTACCATTGATAACCATTGATAATCTTTGATAACCATTAATCCACCATATTACCCTTTGGTAATCAACGGCGGTAGCATTTGAAGCTCCATTGATAGCCCAAGCAAGAACCGATTTGTAGATTTTCCAGCCGGGATAACGACGTTTGATGACACCGGAGGGTAGGTTCAAAGATATCCATTAAGTGTAATCCATGACCTCACTGTTAAAATCTATATCTGACCTAAGTAAATGTTGTCATCCATGACCACTGTAATCCATATGTATTAACGATGTTTCATCATATCTGAGTAAAATACAACGACCGAACCCTGTTCTCCCGAACCCTGGATTTATGGCTTAGATATAGGGTGAATCATCCCCAAATGGCCGAACTATCCAGATGAGTGAAATATGTGTTTTTTTTGACCCAGATCATATTCATCAGCATTCAAAATATTATATATGGGTTAAGTCACCTGAAATATATATGGATACAATATTATATATATATGGATTTGAAATAATTGTAGCAATACCATTCAATCCCATTAAATCACCAATGAATCAAATATATTCCGACTAATTTAATCACCATAAACTTGTCCGACATTTAGTCATTCATCACCATGAATTCACCAGATTTTGCTGGTGAAGTCTGATGAATCACCCGCCATTTTTTGCAACCGATATTTTCCATATTAATCACCATATTAAATGGTATTTATCATTTAAAGAACTAATATTTAATATGATGGTATTTATTTCACCAGGCATAAACGCTATGTTTGCATCATATTAATCACCATAGATCCACCATATTACCATTTGGTAATCAAACGTAGAAAAAAGGGAACTCCTGGTGAAGTCTGATAAAACAATGGAAACTCCTGGTTGTTGTCTGATAAAAATCAATAAACATCAATCATCATACGCAATCATAAATCACCATTGATCACCATTAGTCCACCATTCAATAGCTCCATTATATAATCCAGTGTCTCAATATATTATACAACCATTTTTTTTTTTTTAAATGGATCACCCTTATTTTGTGCACATATATGCGTGTATATATATATATATACGTATGTATATATATATATATCCCATTTTATAGATCACCATTAATCCATTATATAACCCCACCATGAAACCCAATTTAAATAGAGGTTTTTTCATGGGAACAATGGATTTAAATCACCATTATCACCATAAATCCTCCATTATATAATCAGCATTAATCCCAATTAATCCCAATGAATCACCCTTAATCACCATTAATCAGTATAGAGATAATCATTAATCCCAATTAATCCCAATAAATCCCAATTTTCATCTTTTTCAAAATGAAGTTTCGCAAGGTTGCATTATTAACTGATGCTAGGCATGTAGTGTTGATTTATATATGTAAACATTTGCATAGTCTGGTATATAAACACTTTAATCCCAGTATAAATCACCATTAATCAGCATAAAACCCATTATTCATCACCTAAATGGGATTAATCTTTTACCCTCTGGTAATTTAACATAGCTATTGAAAATGTACCATAGACATAGTTGATTTTCCCATTCAAAATGGTGGATCTTTCCATAGTTATGGGACAGTTTACCAGAGGGTATCAATGAACGATGAATCTGATCCAGTCTAATCTAGTCTACATCTATTCTGATCTGATCTAATATCTAATTATAGATCTTTAGATACATGTATTCATTCTCACTGACACATGGTTATTTGGATGGGATATTGGGATACACATGAAGTAATTACCAGCAATTTGAGTTTGTCTGAAACTGTATCATACAGTGGATCCCCCATCATCTTTGGACATACAATTAGCTTGGGATTAGCGCAATTTATCCCTTCAAGATGCACTTTTCTGGGTGAATCGCAACATCGCTTCAATGGAGAAAAACGTGATGCTAACCAACAAAAATGTGGGAAATGGCGCTATTTTGCGGAGTAGAGCGGTGAATGGCTGGTTTCTTGTTGCTAGCTTGGGATTAGCGCAATTTATCACCCATCATTGCTTCCTTTGATCGCCGAATGGCGGGAAAAAAGACGCAGGACTTGCTGGTGAAAGGATGGGATCTGAGCATCTCTAGGCGGGGGGGGGGGGGTGGGGGTTGAGCCGTGAAAAAATGGTGGTTTCCAGTGATTTATATGGGATTTATATGGACTTTTTTTGGGGACCTCGCAAACTGACCGCCAAAACGTTCGGAAAAGACGACTAGGATTCCTAGGATGGTGTGGTTTCGTTGGTGGACTCATCCCGGAAATGGCCAAACGGTTTACTGGTGCGTTTTACGCAGGGAATGGATGGGTTGCTGGGGGTTGCTGGGATGATTATTGATACCCTCTGGTTATGTCAAAATAGCTATTGAAAATCACCATTTATTGTGGATTTTCCCATTGAAAATGGTCATTTTCCATAGCTATGTTAAATTACCAGAGGGTAGTTATTGTGGATCATTCCCGAAAATTCCCTACGTTTAGCACCAGTAAGTAGTGTCTGAAAAATCCACGTTTATGCGACTGACCTGGAAGGTGTCACCAAACGTAGGCTAGGAAATCCCGGAGCGAAATGACTACTGCGAACGTCATCTATAGATGGTGATTTTGATCGGAACATCAATTGTAAATGCGGGTGATTTGAATGGGAACATCATCTACAATGTGAGGCCCCCCAGTGATGTTTGTTGGTTTATATATAAGCCCCAGTAACTAGTTCGTTATTTGCGTACCATTTTTACCATAGTGAAATTGGAGTTATTTAAGCACCAACTGAACGCTATCGTGGCCGGGGGCCTCACATTGTGCCAAGTCATGACCATATTTATGGCTTCCCCAAGGGTTACCCTCTGGTGATGTCAACAGTTTGCTATTGAACATGGCCATAGAAATAGTGGATTTTCCCATGAACAATTGTGGATCTTTCCATAGTTATGTAAACGTTTACCAGAGGGTAGGTTTATTGTTGGCATTCTCACATTCCATGAAAAATCCCATTGGTTCAGAAACCATCTAGAATCCCATTGATCCATTATCATCATTATCCAATAACAATCCATCTTAATCCATCTATAATCCCATTTAATCCATTTAAATCCCACTTATATCCCATTAGATCCCACTTATCCATTATAATCCATAATAAGCCATGGAACAAAGGTTTGTCGCTGTTTCATATAGCCTTTTTCTCGGCCAAAGACTATTGCTTAAGCCCATAATAGCTGGGCAAATGAGACTTTCCTGGGCCTGAAAGCAGGGAACCAGGCTTCAGATTATGACATGTTATAGAACAATGACCATTTTGAAGAGGTAAATCGACTATTTTCATGGGTTATTTTCAATAGTTATGTTAAATTGCCAAAGGCAAGTCCAAGTATATCACTAAGATTAATGTTGGTAAAACAAGGCCATAAACCACCCATATATTTAATGGTTTACACCACCCATAAACATGGTCATGACTGGGGTATCGTTTATGACATTGTTTTAACCACATTAGTATTTTAATCCATGATGAATGATATGAGTACAACAATAGAAATATAGAATATAATCGATATATCTTGTAATATCTCTAATTTGTAGTCTAATAGATTGTACCATATTATGACTATTATAGCAAAGTATCAGATCATATGTCATTTTTAGTCATCAGTTTTATCCATGGTAAGTTAGATTCCGTCTTCGTTCTGACTTGTTTCCTTGAACTGATGATGTTCCCATATGTTCCCACTACCAAAAAAGCATGGCGGTTGGTGATGCTTGGTCATCTGGCCACGTACCCTGGGCGTCTTCAGAAAACGGTTTGGCAAAGTAAGCCATTTTGGCAAAGTTGGTCGATTCCCCCATTTTGGCAAAGTTCAATCCCTAAAAAATGATTGGCTTAGTCTTAGCTTAGCCAAAAGCTATGCCCAAACTGGCTGAACCCGATTTTTCAGAATATTCAGCCATAGGCAACAGGGATGTCAATCGCAGCTTTAGCCATCCGCTTGTGTGGAAATTGTCGGCAGGTCCGATGGTCGGAACTCCGACATGCCGGACATGGAGCCCTTCGCGACGGTGGGTCGACCCGACACACCCATGTATGGGGACGACTTATGGTTGTGCATTCCTGCGCAATGATGAAACTTTACACATCTATACACTGGTTGGTGGTTTGGAACATGAATGGATTATGACTTTCCATCTATTGGGAATTTCATCATCCCAACCGACGAATTTTTAAATGCAAACATGGTGATGTCACCAACATAAAACGCGGATCAAACCGTAAAAAAAAGCAGTCAGAACGGAGGTTGAACCAAGAAAAATATGGGATTTATATAATGGTGATTTACCCTCTGGTAAACGAAGAGTTTGCGAACTTGAACATGGCCATAGAAATAGTTGATTTAACCATCAAAAAGGGTGATTTTCCAGTTCGTTATTTTGGACAGTTTACCAGAGGGTCTTTTTCCATTCAGTTGGGAATGAATCATAATCCCATAATCCCAACTAAGTCAGCAAAATTTTTCAGCGGGCTAGGTGGCTCAACTAGTGGTGATTACCCTCTGGTAATTTAACATAACTATGGAAAATCACCATAGAAATAGTGAATTTTCCCATGAAAAATGGTGAATCTTTCCATAGTTAAGTCAACATTTACCAGAGGGTAAGGACATTCCATAGAGGCATCTTGGAACGCTGGGTGATTCATCCCCATCCGCCCCTTTTGGTGGATGATGCTAAGTTGTGGGTAACTGGACTAACCCTACCTATCCCACAACAATAACTGGGGTTATAACCCACTCACTAACGTGGATGAGTCATCAAGTATGACTATATTTCTATATGTTCATCATCAGTAGTATTACTATTGCTATCATTCTCATTGTTATCATATGAACAGTAATGATTGAATTACTGTATGTTACTGTAATTATAACAGCAATTCTCATTTCTGATATATGTATTGTTTCTATATATATATCCCCTACAAATCCCCTATATATATATTATCACTACTGTATTGTCTATATATTATACATACATATGGAGCTTTCCTAAAATGGGGCTACCGCCAGTTATCATCCATTTTTCGATGGATTTTCCATGAAATCGTCCAGCGGCAGTTACGTGGCCACAGCGCGGCGGTGCTGTCCTTGGCCTTCCGCGCCCAGGCGGGGCGTGAAAATCGCGCAACACGCTCCGGCAACGTCCCATGAAAAATGGAGCTTTCTATAGGGACTGTAGGGAATATAGAGGATTTATAGGTGATAAATATATATATATATGTATATATATATGTATATAGAACGAAAATTATCTACAACCAGGGTTTTTGGATGGGACAATCATCTACAACTTGGGTTTTCGGATGGGAACATCATCTACAACTAGGGGATTTATATAGGATATATATATATATATAGGGGATTTGAACGGTTCGGGGTTCGTCTGTGCACGTCAAAAGTGGGTCGTTTGTGCACGTCAGACGGTTGGTCGTCTGTGCACGTTTTTGTTGTGTGTTTTTGTCATTGTATCTCTGTAACATGATTCTTCTTCTAGCTTTTTTTAAAACATCATCACACAACTCATCAAGTTATGTTTTTTTCCTCACATCTCTGTGTGGGGCTTTTGTTTTTAGGTTTGTATTCCTTGCCTTCTCCTCCTTCTCCTCCTGAGTTGCTTCTTTCTCTCTCAACTTCACCCAAATTGTCTCACACAACTCACAGAACTCATCCCAGACAACTCCTCTCATCTCACAAGTCACAGAACTCGTCTCACACCACTCCACTCATCTCACAACTCACACAACTCGTCTCATCTCACAAGTCACACAACTCATCTCACACAAGTCATCTCTCACAACTCATCTTACACAACTCAACTTACTCAAGAGCTGCTTTCGTGTGCCATTTGGTGGAGCTGCTTTCGTGTTCTCTCACTGAAGTTCACCCAAGTTCTTTCACACAACTTATCTCACAACTCACACAACTCATCTCACACAACTCCTCTCATCTCACAAGTCACAGAACTCGTCTCACACCACTCCACTCATCTCACAACTCACACAACTCGTCTCATCTCACAAGTCACACAACTCATCTCACACAAGTCATCTCTCACAACTCATCTTACACAACTCAACTTACTCAAGAGCTGCTTTCGTGTGCCATTTGGTGGAGCTGCTCTCGTGTTCTCTCACTGAAGTTCACCCAAGTTCTTTCACACAACTTATCTCACAACTCACACAACTCATCTCACACAACTCCACTCATCTCACAACTCACAGAACTCATCTCACACCACTCCGCTCATCTTACAACTCACACAACTCCTCTCATCTCACAAGTCACACAACTCATCTCACACAACTCATCTCTCACAACTCATCTTACACAACTCAACTCACTCAAGAGCTGCTTTCGTGTGCCATTTGGTGGAGCTGCTTTCGTGTTCTCTCACTGAAGTTCACCCAAGTTCTTTCACACAACTCATCTCACAACTCACAGAACTCATCCCAGACAACTCCTCTCATCTCACAAGTCACAGAACTCGTCTCACACCACTCCACTCATCTCACAACTCACACAACTCGTCTCATCTCACAAGTCACACAAGTCATCTCACACAACTCCACTCATTTCACAACTCACAGAACTCATCGCACACCACTCCGCTCATCTTACAACTCACACAACTCCTCTCATCTCACAAGTCACACAACTCATCTTACACAACTCATCTCACATGAACGTTATCATCCCAGCCCACCCCACCCCACCCCACCCACCCCCCCTACCCCCACCCCCCCAAGGGTAACTGATCATGAAAGAGCAGTGCGTGTAAGTGCTCTACAGCAAGAAAGATGATGAGGTTGCTGTGCGTGTGCAGCATAGGAACATGAACCTTATTAACTCACCCCACCCCACCGGTAACTGATCATGAAAGAGCTGTGCCTGTCTCTGCTCTACGGGAAGAAAGATGATGAGGTTGCTGTGCCTGTGTGTGCATAGGAACATGAACGTTATCATCCCACCCCACCCCACCCCACCCCACCCCCCCCACCCTCCCCACCCCACCCCAGTGGAACATGAAAGAGAGAGGTTTATCTTGCCCGAAATGACTAGTTCCCAGCATCAATGTGTGCGGATGACCGCTCTTTGTGCGCGGATGACGCGGTTTCGCTGTGCGCGGATGACTCGTTTGCAATGTGCGCAGATGACTCGCTTTCAATGTGCGCAGATGACGCGTTGACCTGCGGATGTTCCATGAACTTCCTAATTTTTAATGGATAATTTCAGAAACTCATCGGACTATATAAAAAAATAGAGATTTTCCAGCCGTCTTGATTTCACTCGCCCAATTTTGGGATTGTCACATGTGGGTGCCCCCGAGTTATGGAAAAAACCCATGAAAACTATAGTAATAGTTATATTTCTGATAAACCCAAGAGAAATTGAAGTTATTTACCCTCTGGTAAACTAACATAGCTATGGAAAAAATGGCCCATAGAAATAGATGGTTTACTAGGGTTTACCTCTTAAAAATGGTGGATCTTTCTATAGCAATGTTAGTCATTCCCAGAGGCTAAGCACCTTTTTTCTCGATTCGGCCCGCTCCGATCCGGTATTTTTTCAGAGTCGAGCCGTGATTTGTTCAATGGGATTCTTGGCTAATTTGGGGAAAACATCTTGCCATAGGGATATTTCATGGAGATATTTCATTATAAATGGGTACTAAAGTGGATTTAATCCATGATTAAAATCCATGATTTAATCCATGGTTTATAGTGGATTATATTATTATCTATGGATTCTAAGTGGATAATAATGGGAATCCAATCGGGAGATATGGAGTATAATGATTATAATGAGATATGGGTATGGATCAATACCTATTAATACCATTTTTAGTGGGATGAACATCCATTTACCAGCTATTTTGATGTTTACCAGGGGTATAGGGTTTTGACACACTGCCATATGGATTCTAATTTTCATGTATTTGGGAAAATCATAACGACTTCACGTTGCGACCGAGCCCTGGAAGAATGGTTAGGATTCGGGGAAGTATCGCTGAGTGAATTATTATAATTTATTTTACCTGTAACTGTGGTAATGTAGTAAACTTAACTTAGTAAAGCCATTAATAAACATACCATTTGCGGATGGATTACACTGATTACACCATCCATGGTCATTTTGAGCATGATTTATTGTTGGGTTTACCATATTATTATGATTATAAACGATTATATTTGAATATAATTGGATTATAGTCATTATCACAGATTCGGATTGTAACGGGTTTGTTAAAGGGTTGTTAATGAGTTATACCGCCTAACATTTGCTGAGTCAATGATTGTTTTTTGGGTGATTTGACATTGTTTCCTCATGGGTTAAACCACACGTGAATCCATGTTGGGGAACATTTTACCCTCTGGTTATTTAGCATAGCCATGGAAAATGGTCCATTTATAGATGGTTTACCTACTAGAGATGATGATTTTCCATGGCTATGTTAAATAACCAGATGGTATATATTCAGGGTATTCTTTCAACATGAATAGAAAGTAGAGATTAAATCCCATGTTAGGGGTTGAACATGGACCCAGAATTGAGGCTGAATGGGTTACCTTCCAGTTACTTAACGTAGCTATGGACAATGGAACATTTAGTTTGATTATTTACCTAGGTCAATCTAAGATGGGTAGAAACTAATCCTTTAGTCTTTTGATATCAATGGGATAATCTACGTTCACCAGCTAAGAATTTGTCATTTTTTGTAGGGTATCTGGCAGATGGGCACTGTTACAACCAGGCAATTTTCCATGGCTGTGTTGAATTACCAGAGGGTATAGCTAGATTTTGGGGCCTTGAGATGCCTTGAGCAGATTGAAGAGATCAAGATCAATAATTCAACCAAAGAATGGTTTCAACGAACAAACATTGCGGGTTTAGGAGTTTAGGATGTAGAGATGTGGTAATTTATGCAACAAGAGTCTTTCAACTGGCACATACAACACCTGAGATATAGATTTGACGATGTGACGAACATGTGGACTTAAATCGGCTTCGCCAACAACACCTGTGTGAGTTAACACACACACACATACGCAAATACCTGCATGCAACCAGCCACAATGAGAACTTACAGTAACTAGTAGAAATAGAGATTTAACCGAGTTGGAAGAAACAAGTTAGCTAGTAACGATGGAAGTGGTATACCCTCTGGTAAGCTAACATAACTATGGAAAATCACCATTTTTAATGGGAAAACTCACTATAAATGGCCATTTTCAACAGCTATGTTAAATTACCAGAGGGTAGGTCTCTCAAAATTTTTATTGACATGCCATATTTGGAGGGATGATTCCTGAACACATATTGACCGCAGGTGACCCAAAATATTGACCGCTGCTTTGTTGGATTATGATACGGCATTATACTAGCGGGACAGCCATTAGACATGGGTTGTTTCTAATACTAAGAACTAATGGCTAACTCATTATTTTTGCTCATTATACTAACTAATGATATGAATATCCAGTATGATTACCTATATATAATGAACGGACAACCCAAAATTATACTAGCTCGATTAGCTTATTATTATTATTATTATTTTGATTTATTTTGAATAAAATTGTCCTATGGGTTAATCCACCAGAAATGGCGAATCTACTGGAAATATCGGACTATCTTATACTTAGTTTATGACCACTTCTGCAAATTTAAGCACTAGACACCATCGGAGTCAGGGTATAACCCCAAAGTTCACCCCCCAACACAGCCAAATCTTCGCCCCATTCATAGGGAATGTGCTTAATCCAGCAGGAGATACCCCTAAAATTGGATGGTTCAGAATCTGCTTCTGCGCCTGTGCAATTTTTTTTGCCATCCCCAAATGACAATCATTTTTTCAAGTGGATTTTGTGGATGGAAAGATCATGGAATATCTATATTTAGGGAATATTTATTTACACATTTACAACCATGAAAACGAGATGAATCATATCTACCATTGAAGATGTATGAATAGGCCTTACCCTCTGGTAAATTAACAGTTCGACCCTGGGCATTTGTCGGGGTTGGTTCATACAAGTTTCCATTCAAAAATGGTGATCTTCAGGGTCCAACTGTTTATTTACCAGAGGGTATCACTATAATAATCATAGAATGTCATAGATACAATCACTATATAGATATTAAATCCATAGATATAATATCTACCATTGAAGATGTATGAATAGGCCTTATATAAGTGTTGTCTAAACATCACTGGTAGTTCTCCATCGCAGGACCGGATCCTCTTCAGCGCGGGCATGGTACGGAGTCTCAAAAGACGGCTGAGGAAACAGTGGGGAAAGTGGTCATTGAAGCACGAAACATGGGGGATTTCGGGGATTTATAGCTACAAAGTGGGGCCCCCAAGATAGCGTTCAGTTGGTGCAAATAACTCCAATAACTATGGTTTATGGTACCTATAACTATAGTTAATGGGGTTTATAAACCATCTTATAACTGGGGGGCCCCACCTTGTATCTAAGTTGACTTTTATATATCACTTGGGGGTAACTCCATTTGTAGGAAACCTCCGATATGACTCCCTTACAGACACTGTTTGTGATAGTCACATACAGATACGCTTTGGGAATCAACGATTTCAATGGGAAATCCCTTATAAATGGAGGATTTAATGGGAATTTCATCTCTCTGTGTAAATGGGGGATTTTCCATTGCCATGTTTGATTACCGGAGGGTACCATTCTTGAGAATACATATACTGACTTCAGGAGTTATGACAGCGCAGTCAAGGAAGCATCATGCGTAATAGAAGGCAGAGCGCCCCGAATACCAAGAAAACACCAGAAAGACGAAGTGCGGGAAAGCAACACCCACGGGCTAGAATAACAACGCCTTCCGAACACCTTTTGACCATGCAGTCTGGCCATATCTTGTTGCACAAGGTAGCGTCCATGGTCAGTGCCTTTTGCAAGGGAGAATAAATTTCATGAATGAATTAACCATGACGAGGAAGCTATACTTTCATCGAAATAACTGCGGTTGAGGCACATCAGATTGCGTACCTTCGGGAACTCCCCTTAAAAAACAAGCTGTGGCAGCTATGGAGGTGTAGTGAATACAAGTAAAAGTGAACCATTATAAATCATTATCAACCATGATTAACCATTATTAACAATTATCAACCAATATTAACCATTATTAACCATGATTAACCCACTACTAACCATCAATCCCACCATCATCCCAACCACGGGAATCATTTTTTTTCGCAGGGAAGAAATCATCGGGACATTTTTCGTTTTTGGTGCGCCGGGTGGTGCCCCGGTGAACCGCTAACTTGGAGCATGGAAATACCCGGCCTGGTAAACATACAAAAAGCGAACTGGAACATGGCCCATTTATAGTGAGTTTTCCCATTAAAAATGGCGATTTTCCATAGTTATGTTAGTTTAGCTATTATAGTTATGGAAGCCATGGCCCATAGAAATAGATGGTTTACCGTTCTTAAAAACGGTGGATCTTTCTATAGCTATGGGCCTTAAAAGTGGAGGATATAACGAGCTAGTTAGTTTAAGTTGCCTGAAAAAAGTGGTTGAATGAATCCTATGGTGGTTATTTCATATTTTTTTCAACCAACGTTCACATCACAAAACCGGGGGCACCACCTTGTGGCAATGGGAAATCCCGGGAAAGTCAGCGAGAAGCACCCAAAATGGATTTTCGATTGCCTTGTTTGGCTACTGGAGGATACTGGAGTTTTTTTTTTTTGGGACCCAAAAACCCCAAACTGGATTGATAGTATGGGGTAATGATGGGTAATGATGGGTAATGATGGTTAATAATGGTTAATATATAATGGTTAATAATCACTGGTTGGTGGTTTCAAACATGGCTTTTATTTTCCATTTCATATATGGGATGTCATCCTTCCCATTGACGAACTCATATTTTTCAGAGGGGTAGGTATACCACCAACCAGGATTTATTTCCAAAGCGGTGTTGCTGCGAAGGGGATGTTATCATGGGACGGAAGACTTGAAGAGAAGAAGTCCTCCTCCAAAATCCAGCTTGAGGTTCCATGCTTGTCTTCATGGGTACATCATACTGTGGCGAGAAATATTGGTGAGCTAAAGAAAGCACCCAGTTTTATTCATATGTGGGTTACCTGCTGGTTATTTAACATAGCTATGGACAATCACAATTTTAAAACGGATTTAATAAATAGGTAAATCATCTATAAACGGGTCACTTTCTATAGCTACGTTAAATTACCAGAGGGTACCATTTATGCCTAGAATTATATTCATTTTGAGCATTCACTACTTATTCGACAGGGACAATTCCATTCATAACTAGTTCACTATAACCCATTACTCCCTATTTGTCAACCTTAACTAGGGGTGCTCCAAACGATTATAGCTACATGATAGCCATGACAGGGGAACGTTGGTAATTTTACCTCTTTATTTGCCCAAATTCACGCCCCTTCTTCCGGTGTTGGGAGCAATCCTCTCAACTGGGCTCATGTCTATTGTTTTTGGGGTCCGTATACTATTAAGTACCTCCCCAAAATGAAACCCTGCTTTAGTAAATATCTAACTACCCCATGTAAATTGAGCAGTTATCCAATTTATTATATACTTGTCTCTCTCTCTCTCTCCATGTATAATCGTATGTATACATATATACATATAACTATGCTAATAGTCAGTAGTTTAAGATGTTTCCGATGATCCAATTATCCTTTAGTACATAGTTGCATGTATCCCATATCACACATGTAATTATGGTTTTGTAGATAATCCCTTTGGTTAAATTTCTAATTACCGTTTGTGCTAATTTGATAGATCTGATATTGTTTGTTATGCCACCATTTTTGTTAGTGACATACTCCGTTATCCAATTTTCCTACAGAGGGAATATATTGAGTGGCATTGAGCGGCACGTGTTCTGCTGGACTCGCACCACTCAGCACCACTCAGAATGTTTGAGTGGCATTGAGTGGCATTGAGTTTCATTGAGTGGCATTGAGTGACATATGCCCGTCTAGGCTCGCGCGCGTCAGCACAGCAGTGGAATCGAACCAAGAGCCACGTTTACTTGAGAAGCTGGCGAAGGAGAACATGGCTTTGAATGTTTGTGTGGTCAATAAATCAAAAGTCACAGACAATCAATTTGAATATTAATTCAGCATTTGACGGCCATGGACCGCTTCATAGACCGCTTCCTCTGCGACAGAGTTGAATGCTCCCAGGGAAGCAGATGCAGAACAAAATGCAGATGCAAAGCACCTCCTGCAACAGCTGCAGTCAGAAGCAGCTTCTCAGCCTTTTGCCCTTCCGGCCGCTGTAGCTGCTGCAATGCAGCAACACCTTCCAGCACATGAATGCTGCCGATGGATTATAACTTTGGTCACGCGGGATGATCTTCCATAGATGGGACAACCTTTGGTGAGAAACCCAGGTAGATACCAAACGAATAGATACCAGAAATTTAGTAGATACCAAAGAGTAGATCATCTCCATCTATTCGGTAGATACCAAAAAACCATGGGTGATCCGTGCTGAGGATGGCTTGATCCGTGCCTGGACCCTACCTGATGGACGCCTCTGTGAAGGCCCTCCGGTAAAGGGCTTGGATTCGTATCGCATTTGTGGCTTATCTATGTAAAATCATCCTGAAGTAGGATAGATGCCCTCTGGTAAAGATACAAAAGCTATTGAACATGTCCATAGAAATAGTTGATTTACCTGGTAAAAATGGTGATTTTCCATAGTTATGTTGGTTTACAGGAGGGTAATGGGATTTTCAAAGATATTCCCCAATTTTATTCTTTTGGTGTTTGAATGTTTTCCGTGACCTATGTGTTCCAGGATGATTATCTGGTTGGTGGTTTCAAACATGTTTTATTTTTCCATAATACATGGGATAATCCTTCCCATTTGACTTTCATATTTTTCAAGATGGTTAAAACCAAAAAGGCAGTTTACACATCTATATACATCTAAAAGGACATTATCAATCTTCCATGTTTGTGACCAACATGTACTCTTGGGTAATTTAACCTAGCTATTGAAAATGGTCATAAACATAGTGGATTTACCCACTAAAAATGGTGACTTTCAACAGCTATGTTAGTTTGTGACCAACATGTAACAAAAAAAACGTGGACTTGATAACCCCAGTACTGCTTTTTGGGAAGATCTTCAGGAAACCATCATTTTTTGATGGGGGAGAAACCATGGATTTCCGGTTTTCAGATTTCTCTTTAAACCAATCCCTTGATATACCGTCTGGTTATGTCAACATAGCTATTGAAAATGATCATAGACATAGTTGATTTACCTATTATAAATGGTGGATCTTTCCAGTTCGCAAACCGTAAATGTTTACCAGGCCGGGTAAGCAAAATTGGAGAAAATCAACCCCGTGGTAAACACAAACAGTTCGACCCTGAAAATCATTGACCAATAAAAATAGTGGTTTCAATCGTCTGAACCAACCCCTATCTGACTATCTGGCAGGGTCGAGTTCTGTTAATTTACTGGAGATTTAACTCATGGCACCGGAGAATGAGGGATACCCTCTGGTAATTTAACATAGCTATTGAAAATGGCCATTTATAGTGGATTTACCCATGAAAAGTGGTGGTTTTCCATAGTTATGTTAGTTTACCAGAGGGTACCCCAATTTCTTTGGACTTTTCGACTGGGGAAATGGATGAAATCCACCATGGATGAAATTCACCACGTGAGATTTTGTTTCCATTCATTTCACCGAAAAAACCCATGCTATTTCAGTAATGTTAATATCACCATCCATAAAATGGTCGTTTTTTTGAGATATAAAACCAATGTAACTTACAGAAAGTTCAGGTTTTTTTTTCTCAAACGAAGCGCTTGTTTTAAGCCGTCAAATTGTGGATTTTGCCAGGACACATGCGATTGAACCTTCAAAATTGGGGGACCAGGCGACATCATGGCTGGTTGGTGGTTTGGAATATTTTATATTTTTCCATATATTGGGAATAATGATCCCAACTGACTTTCATATTTTTCAGAGGAGTTGAAACCACCAACCAGCTTGATTTTCAGGAAACGTGGAATGCATTGGTGGGTCAGAGAGGCCTTTCGAACAAACCTAGTTCGTTGTGATGCTGGCACAGATGTTTACATAAATGTGACACAATTTCGGACAATTTCTCTGACATATAATTATATATATATACATATGTATATATTGTGTGGATTTCTATCCGGCTACCCACCCTAAAATTAAAAGCCCGAGTGCATGTGGCAATATTGCCAAAATTGAATGGCCAAAATTGAATGGCCAATGTGGGTGTTGCAGCGAAAGCTACAAAGGCAATGAGTTTCTTCCGAAATTGGTGTGCCTGCCTGGTGAAGTCATATGCATGATCTTGGCTTCACTGGGCGTGAGGAGCGTTCCCTTTCTGTCACGTTCTGCTGGCATCGTGTGCGAAAACCGCTTGGGCACAGCTGCGGCGCATGCACCGCGGACAAACTCCAGGCATGGGACGTGTATGCACATACACATAAACATATACATATGCAAATACATATACATATACATATAGATTTACATCTACATATATATATATATATAGAGGCAGATACATGTACGCATGCATATTTCACATACATGTGCACATGCATATACAAATACAAAGGCAAATACATGCATACCTACATACATACACGCATACGTACCTACCTACCTACCTTCCTACCTTCCTGCCTAAACTATATATATATATGTTATACATTTAAATTTAATTCAATATATGTATGTATATATATATTCAATGTACTTGCACATTTACACATATTTAAACAATATATATATATAGTCATAGATATTTCAATATACATGTACATATGCATACACATATACAAATAAGTGTACACCTACAGATCCTCATATACCAGTATGATAGTATGTATGTATGTATGTATGTATGTATGTATGTATGTATGTATGTATGTATGTATGTATGTATGTATGCACAAATACATGTACATAGATCGATCGATCGGTAGATAGATAGATGGATAGATGGATGGATGGATAGATAGATGTGTACTCGGGAGTATCATAGCCCATGACCAGTACCCATCCACCAGCCAGCATAACTAGGGATTGCCCAGTCCTATGTTGACCAAACCTGTTTGCAAGAGGCGACCTCCATGACATCAGTTGGGTATGGGTGAAAACCTATGGTTTTCCACTTGTCAATGGGAATTTCAGGATCATTAAGTGGAGGTACTGTACCATATAAGGCCATATTTTATGGAGATGTTCCCTTACATAGGCCTTATACATGCCTTATATATGGTAGGTACCTCCAATTTAGGATCCTGAAATGGCCATTGAACTTGGGTTTGTCCAAACATTGGAGATACCACAAGATTTCTCACGTTGATATCATGGGAAACGGATCGAATTTTCGAGAGATGAACTTTTCGAGTCGGGATTTTTTCGGACCATCCCTATATCTATAGTCTGGACGTATACCTATATTATTGATAAGAGTGGGTATATGATTTTAATCCCTAATATGAATGTATAAGAGTGTGTATATGATTAATCCAATAATATCATAAGACTGTGTATACCTATATATATATACATACACATATATAAGAGTGTGTGTATGATTTTAATCCCTCATATGAATGGGGGAATGAAGATCAACAGCTCATGATGACATTTTCTCGTTCTCGATTCGAATTGGAGGCTTACAGCCGATGGGACACAAAGATTCGGTATGGTCACTGCAGCACCACGCCTACTTGCAGGGAGTCCTGGATCCCTGGATCCTTGGAATGCTTGGAAAATTTGGTGATTTCTGTAGATTGATAATGGTTAATGATGGTTAATAATGGTTAATCATGGTTAATGATGATGATGAATGCTTAATAATTGTTATATAATGATGGTTAATGATGGTTATACTGGGATTTACCCTCTGCTTATGACTAACAGTTTGCCATGGTTGCCGATGCACCATGCTATTAAGAACGGTAAACCATCTATTTAACTGTGGGCCATGGAAAAACCATGGCGAACTGTTAGTCATAACCAGAGTTTTTTTTTTTTTTTCTGTAGATTAATAGTTGACCTAAAATGAGGAAAACATGTGAAACACAATACATCCAACATCATCCAACCAAGGGATACCAAGATATTGTACTGTTACCCTCTGGTAAACGTTTACATAGCGAAATGGAAAATCACCATGCTATTAATGGGTAAATCAACTATTTTGACTGGGCCATTTCCAATAGCTACGTTAAATTACCGGTAGTATTTTTTACATCTTTGACTGATCCAAACGGTTAAGGATTTTTTACCAACGGCTCCAGAGAAATGATGGGAATTTGGTTGGGGGAACTCCCATCTGGTTATTTAACATAGCGAAAATGGCCCATAGAAATAGATGGTTTACCATGGTTTACCGTTCTTAAAAATGGTGGATCTTTCCATGGCGAACTGTTAGTCATAACCAGAGTGTACTTGGAAGACCAATTTTATTTCGGGTTGCTGAACTATTACAATTCAACCAGGTTCCAAGACTGGTTCTTGGAGTAAAATAACCAACCGATATGGGTAGATTGAAACTAGAAAAAATGGGGGAGAGACCCATATAAAGAATGATCCACGCTAAATGGAGAATGATCCACGCTAAATGGAGACAACACCTGGTTGGTGGTTTGGAACATGGCTTTTATTTTTCCATAATATATGGGATCATCCTTCCCATTGACGAACTCATATTTTTCAAGATGGTTATTGCACCACCAACCAGGTCATATAGTTGATTTAAATTGGCCATTATAACCATTAATGTCCATGGATATGGCTTTATAATATACCATATAACAACCAACCAGATCTCCCTTTCCAATCCGTAACCACTGCCCAAACATGGCACCCCCAAATGACCCAGCTGTGCTTGGGGGATGCATCCCAGTAAATGATGAACATAACTCATGGCTGGCTTTAATGGTAAAAACCATGGTTTGAATGGTAAAAACCATGGTTTTAATGGTAAAAACCATGGCTTTAATTGTAAAAACCATGGTTTTAAGGGTAAAAGCCATGGTTTTAATGGTAAAAACCATGGTTTTAATGGTAAAAACCATGGTTTTAATGGTAAAAACCATGGCTTTAATGGTAAAAACCATGGCTTTAATGGTAAAAAACATGGTTTCAATGGTACAAACCATGGTTCTAATCGTAAAAACCATGGTTTTAATTGTAAAAAACATGGTTTTAATGGTAAAAACAATGGTTTTAATCGTAAAAACCATGGGTTTAATGGTAAAAAAACATGGTTTTAATGGTAAAAAACATTGTTTTAATGGTAAATAAAAACCATGGCTTTAATGGTAAAAACCATTGTTTTAATGGTAAAAAAACATTGTTTTAATGGTAAAAACACATGGTTTTAATGGTAAAAACCATGGTTTCAATGGTAAAAACATGGTTTTAATGGCAAAAACCATGGTTTTAATGGTAAAACAATGGCTTTAATGGTAAAAAAACATGGATTCAATTGTACAAACCATGGTTCTAATCGTAAAAACCATGGTTTTAATGGTAAAAACCATGATTTTAATGGTAAAAAACATGGTTTTAATCATGAATCAGAGGGTGGTTTAATCATTGTTCCCTGCATCCAGCTGGATCCAGTGCACCAGTGCTGAATTTCACGAATCCTGGGCCAATAGCCATAGTTTTGGGGCCCCTGTATCCCAACTTTTGACAATAAGGTGGTTATAACACACTTGGGTATACCATGGTATACCCATAAGGCAACACCAGCCCACACCAGCAATTCTCCAACTTTAAACCAGGTTTCTTGCATTATGTACCATTATGTACATAATGGTACATGCACACGTTTACAATGCTGTTAAAACCAATCAAGACCAATCAAAACCAGGCAAAATTCAAAACCATTCAAAACCAATTAAACCCACCCAAAAAGCAATTCACACCACATGTTTGATTGGTAAAACACAGGCATTTCACCATCTTCCCCAATTCTTTGGCCCCTGTCCCGTGGTCCCCCTAGGCCCTGTATGGCATCAGCGGGTGCAGACGGGCAGATGTGCCTCTGGAACACCGAGGCTTGTCGTACCCTCTGGTAAACTGTCCCATAGACATGGAAAATCACCCATCTTGTCATGGCTAAATCAACTATTTTGACTGGGCTATTTTCAATAGCTATGTTAAATTACCAGAAGGTATATATGAATGATACTAACAACGATTTTGTTTGGATATACAGTAATGACATTATGACATAGATTTTTAGACATAATAGTGGGTGATACAAACCACACGTGGATTATTATTCAAAATCATGCTCACAATCTTATGAATCCTTGTTGTTTTATTTTTTATGGGGATCGAATGGGGATTTAATGGGAATATTGTGGTGTATATATATAATATCATATATATACATAATTCCAATGATGTCTGAAAAAACGGGGGAATATTTTAAGGGTGAACATGCTGTTTTAAACTATCAGTTCTTTGGGTATATATATAATGTTTAGGCAGATCCAAGTGTAAAAATATTGAACGATCATTTTTGGTTCCAATATTGGATGATTTTCCACCACTCAAAATCCAATTGTTTGAAAGGTCTGCTGCACTTTGAACACACTAAAAAGTGGTATGCTTCACCCATGTACCAAACCTCCATCAGGCTCCCTCCTTGTACCCTGAGGCTACCTGCACCAAAATGGAGAGTTTCTCATCATTTTCCCTATTATATGGTTATTCCAATGTGGGTTTGGATCAATACCTATTAATACCATGTTTAGGGGGATGAACATCCATTTACCAGCTATTTTGATGTTCACCAGGGGTACAAGGTTTTGACACACTGCCATGTGTATCCAAGTGACGACTCTTTGACATGACGTCAGGCGCAAGAGACCTCAGATAGCCGCCTGCAGGTGCCATTAGCGGGTGTGAATGGTAAGTAATCATTGGTAAACTAACATAACTATGGAAAATCACAATTTTTAATGGGAAAACTCACTATAAGTGGTGATTTTCCATAGTTATGTTAAATTACCAGAGGGTAATCATTGGTAAACATACAACAACGATGACAAAACACCTTTTTTTATGGCTAAATCAAGGAACTATATGGCAATGTTCAAATAGTTTTTTGGATGTTTACCAGAGGGTAATCATTGGTTGATTGTGAATATTGGATGACAATGAATGGAATGTGGGTAAAACAATGTCATGAACCATACAAATCACCATTTTTATAGGTGGTATGTTTACCATTCCCACATGGGTGGTTTATGGCATTGTTTTACCCACATTATCAGCACTTGGTAAAATGCCAGATTGTGGAGAAAAGTTTTTTTTTTTGACCGGCAAAACCGATCATGCACTTGAGAACATGGGTTTTTTCTATCAACAATACATGGACCTTCCAAAAGAACGAATCCGAGACCTGAGATCGCTCCCACTGAGCTTCGTTTCGGCAGTCCGAAACAGGTCGGTTGTTGCATCAACTCATCCGAAAATCTTGATTTATTATGATTTAATCACCAATCTTTTTGACTACATCTATATACACTCTGTTGATAAAACATACCATACTTTCTAGGTTGGATGCCACAGTGTTAGACCAAGGGAAGTTCTGCAATAAGAAGGATATTTTCCAGATAAACCAACGCAGTGTCACATTCTTTGGTGAAACCGACATATATCTCTTTAGGACCGCGGGTGGTTGCAGGGTTTGGCCTCACACCGGGCGGAAGGTCACCTCAGTTCGCAAGTGGAGAGTAAGCATAGGACCATAATTAGTGAAGTAAGTTGGTGAAACAAAGAGAACCAGGGTTAAGAATTATTTATATCCTTATATATATATATAAGGATATATGATGATATATGTATATATATATATTAGTGTATGTATATATATACTAGGATATATCATGATATGTCCATAGTCAGATGGATGAAACTAAAAACCAATTTGAAGTGGAGGGGTACTCGTTGTATTGCTGGTCTTCCGGCTACATTCGGGTAAACTGCGCAAAAACTTGGATCAATTATTCAGCAAGTGGCTCATTACCCTCAACTCCCCGGTCAAGCCAGAATTGGCTTCAGAAGTCTGAGCAAGGAAGTCACTCCATGTTGAAGGGGGAAAGTATATCACTCAGTTGAAATTACCCTCTGGTAAACTAACATAACTATGGAAAATCACAATTTTTTAATGGGAAAACTCACTATAAGTGGTGATTTTCCATAGTTATGTTAGTTTACCAGAGGGTACTGCATTTTTTTCTTATTTACGTTGCGTTTACATGTTGACTGGGGTTTCAGCATGCGATAATCGAAGATCGTAGTTATCGTAGTCGTAGATGCCAGATGCTGCCTTTATATGATGAATTGGTGTTTCTGTCTTACCCATTTTGTTGGGCTATATGATTCTAGTTAATTTATGGTTTGTCTGAAAATAGGGTACCCCAAATCCATTCTTCGACAATTATTTTCCCTTTTAAAGTTGCCATAATTTGGGGCTATACTCCATTTCCAGAGCGATTCTCATTAAAAAAAATCCGCATACCCATTGCGTGTGTCTGGATATCTTTGGAGCATCATCAGATCTGCATCGCACGGCCGATTATATGTGGGTAGTAACCACCAGTTCGATGCTTAGATGAATGGACACATCACCGTTTATACGGATGAAATATGTGTAGGGTCAAGTTCCATGGGATGGTTTTTGATTTTTTGATCATCCCTATATACCATAAGAGGCTGACAAAAATGGGGATGGCCATCCCCTAAGTGGCCAATACCCTCTGGTTATGTCAAAATAGCTATTGGAAATGGCCATTTATAGTGGATTTTCCCATTAAAAATGGTGATTTTCCATAGCTATGTTAAATTACCAGAGGGTAATCCAAGTTTTAACGTCATGGGGATACCCCCAGTCGGACCAGTGCCAGTGCTTGCCGTCGTGCTGTCAGGCTTCCTTCGTCTTGAAGAGCCCATTGCCGAAAGGCCGGCTGTGGAGATGGTTGTGGGGGTCTACCCCTATATTTTACCATCTGGTTATTTAACATAGCCATGGAAAAATCCATTTTTAATAGGTAAACCATCTATTTCTATGGGCCATCTATACCATGGCTATGTTAGTCATAACCAGAGGGTATACCCTACAGCAAATCAAGATAGACTCAGATAGACCCTAAAACCAGCAACAATTGCTCTGGAAAAATTATCTTCCAACCCTCTCTGTGGTATCTATATCAATGGGGGATGGCAAGCCATGAGATTTCGGGATTTACTGCAACACCACCGATATTTTCCACCAGCGATGGTATGGTTTATAAACCAACAAAACTGACCGGGGCAGCATCTTGTGGGGTGAGTTTGCCATCCAGCAACGTGGGATAACATCAGAAAGGCGACGCCTACCAGGCCTACTAGGCCTACTATCAGATGATTTGAAAAGGGCCAGTGGATGAACATTTAGCAGTTGGGGGAACAGAATCATGTGGCATTTATATATCATGAGATATTTCAAGTTCTTACCATAAACCTTATATATCTGAGTTAGCTCTTATAATAATCCTTATATACTAGTATCTGATATGACAGTGATAACCACATAAATCATGGCTGGATGATATTATTTCCAAAGTTCAAAAATATACTCATGAGTTCTATGGAATATGATATAACTTTATATATCTATTGTTATTTCATGTTATTTATGTGGAGGATATTTTCTATCAATGCCATCAACCTCCAATCTTGGATGGCTTCAAAACTACTATGAATTTTGCCACCTCTTTCTGGGGCTTTGTGCCACCGGCTATCCAGCTATCCAAGAGAAGTGCTGGTGATCTCATCTGAAAACATTGAGAACACCCGCTTCCAAGGTCCCCCTTGGCAGCCTTGGAGGGTAAGTTTTTAAACATAGGGCTAGCCCATAGTTGGATGATTTATCCATGGAACATCCTACTAAAATGGATGATTTTCATTGATTTTGGGGCTGCCCCTCCGCAAACAAAGAACATACAAAATCAAAGTGATATATATTAGGAAAAATCAATCATACTCCTCTATATTAGGAAAGCTCCAAAGAACAAACACCGCCCCGCAGCTTCGAAGGCACCTTGGGCCCTTTCGCAGAGGCTGATCTTCCAAGCTGTACAGCATGGGTGCGCGGCCCCTTGGGGCCCCCGTGATGCTTGGGATTTTCATGGGGAATTTCATGGGATTCAAATGGTACCCTCTGGTTATTTAACATAGCCATGGAAAATCACCATTTTTAATAGCTAAACCATCTATAAATGGACCATTTTCCATGGCTATGTTAAATAACCAGAGGGTATTTTTAATGGCTATTTGTATGACATTTTCACAGGATTCAATGGCTATTTTGATGACAATATAATCACAGGCTTTAGAGATTTTGAATGGGATTTCATGGGGGACTTAGCTCTCAAAATTAAGGGGTGGTTTTATCACCCCAGATACAGTTGGAGGAAACATGTCCAAAGAAATAAACTTAGCATCTGGTTATTTGACATAGCCATGGAAAATCCATTAAAATGGAGGTTTTAATGGGAAAATCATCTGTAAATGGGCCATTGTCCATAGCTATGTTAAATAACCAGAGGGTAGATTTTCCCCCCTTCTGGCTATCCTTAACGTAGACATAGTTTCAAGATGTTTAAACTGCCCTGATTGCCCTGACCCCAAGAACCTTAGGGCTTATGAAAGGCTTAGTACCCACCGACAACCATGACTATAAGGGCGACTGGTTGTGTCACTCTGATCGCTTGGTGTTCATTCCATGCTGTCGTAAGATTGTACTTCACCAGATGAACTTGCTCCGCCCACCTGGCACATCCACATCAGCATCCACACCTTGAGCCTGGAAGCGCCGTTGATCTATGAGGGCCACGGGACCTTCATGCCGTTGGAGCTCTGTGGCAGACTGAAGATGGCACTTCTTGCGCCAGGACTGGTGGGCCAGTTATGCCCGCTGTCTCTCAAGGTGACTGCACAAATGCGTTGGGTTTGTTTGCGGCTTCAGTGTACTTTTACCATCTTTTACCATCTCATTTCTGCCTTCTAGGCCTTATTTATATTCAACTCTGCAATTATCTGCTGCCTGTGTCGCGGTGCGTTCCGTTGCATACTCCTGTCAGTGCTATGATGCAAGACCCTGGTGCAAGAGAGCCAAAGTCTTGCCTTCTTGGCCATGACTGGGCAAGCCCTTCTCCCCCTGCGCAACCACAAGCACAACATAGTCATCCTGAAGTAGATTCGATAGACTTCAAAATTTCTGACCCATATTCTCTCCATTTCTCTCCATTTCTCTCCATATATTAGAGTTTTTGGCGCGTGAATGCGTCGTATCTAAACATCATTAGGAGGGAGGCCGCAAGAAGTTGCAGTTGAAGCCACTGAAGCCCAACAACTGGCGATTGAAACTCGAAAACCCCAGCAATAACTAGCAAAAATATTGCAAAAATGAAGTTTTTGAACCAACACCACTGTGGAAAACCCAGAACTTCAAGCTGGGTTTCTCCGTTTTTTTTTTTTTAACCATCGAAATCAGGCTGTTTAGCATCATCATGTTCCCATTGATATGGCCAACAAAAACTGGTGACTGGTCCTCTTTTGATGAGAGCAGCCCCAAAAAAGATGACGAAAAGTTACCCTCTGGTAAACTGTCCCACAACTAATCGCCATTTTTAGTGGGCAAATCAACTAGTTCTATTGCCATTTTCAAGTTCGCAAACTGTTAAATTGCCAGAGGGTAATGACCAGGAACATATTGTAATAACTCTCTTTTATTATTGTAATACTTTTATTACTGTAATACTAATTTGCGTAAGCAAAAATTATTGTAATACTAATTTGCTCTTGCCTCGCCTTGGCCTTGCTGAGGGGTGGGCCAAAGCTCCATTACCGATAGGGGACGACCCTATATAATTTGTGCCATGCACAAGTACTGTTGCCCGCTATTCATGTGGAAAACATCATCAAATTCCCATCCTAGAGAGACTTTTCCATCTTTTTTTGGGGTTTGCGATATGGATGTTTCCTGAAATGGGAGTCCCCCCATTTTTCATCTATTTTACTAGATTTTCCACTATAAACCTTCCAGCGAGCTTGGGGTACCCCCATGACTATGGAAATCTATGATTTTTCCCTCCCAAAAAAACGACATTTCTTCCATGAATCGATGAAGTCAGCACCTTCGGCTGGAGAGGTACCTGCATTGACCAGCCAGCTACTGGCCGGCTACACCTCAGCCAGGTGTCTAGTGGGGATCCAGGGATCCAGCGATCCAGGGGAGGGGGGACCCATCAAGGACCCATGGGGATGGGTACAACGAGAATCTAGTGGTTATATAATGTTATAACTATATGTATATGTATATATATATATATTAATATATATATATATATACACAAGAATCCCTAAAATAATCTAAAAGATAGAAGTATCATTTACCACTCTTGTAGGAGTGAACTTTTTTAAAATGACCTTTGGGCATCTTTTTTTTGATTCTTTATCTTGGGGGTTCCTGCAATGGAATATGAAACCTCGACCACAACTGGGATTTCAATGCGATGGTTTAGTCCCTATGACGGGATTTAAAAAGAGGATGAAACAATGATTGATCCACAAAAGCTTAAACCTCCGGTACTAAAAAAACAGTGTACTATGGAAATTCATCACCACATTTCAAATGTGCCATTTTTCTTAGTAAACCTTTAAAGTACTCCGGGTTCCTCCGGCAACGAAAAAAAACGTACCCAGTTGCGTTGATGTGTTGGTGGAATCTCCATTGGATCCCTTTCCGGATGGGTCAAAATCAGTCATTCTGCTATTGAAAATGGCCATAGAACTAGTTGATTTACCCATTAAATATGGTGATTTTCCATAGTTATGGGACAGTTTACCAGAGGTTGTTTTTTGAATTTGAAGGTTACTCCAACTATCCATATCGTCAACCGAAAAAACCAGTGCATTTTCAATCTTTTGGGCAATACGACTGTCCCTTTTGGGTCATCAAGCACTCCAAATAGGGCTGGGAATTCCCCGGTTTCTAGCCATGGAGGTTTAGTTCGCTTGGAAAATCATCACATGATGAAAAACATGGTGAATTTTTTCCAGCCGATGTTTGATGATTGGAGGGTTTTCTTCATCAGATTCTTGGTCCAAATTCCAACGACACAGACATCGGTGACATCGTGGATGACCGAAGAAAGGGTTTCACCAAGCAGACGTTTCAACATCATCAAGTGACATATACCCTCTGGCTATTTAACATAGCTATTGAAAATGGCCATTTATAGTGAGTTTTCCCATTAAAAATGGTGATTTTCCATAGTTATGTTAAATTACCAGAGGGTACCTGGATTTGCGACGATCTGGTGTTTAACAACAACAAGCCAGGAAGACTGAAGCTTTTGAACAGGAATACTACATGTGTCAAGAAATGCATCTTGTATTTTTGCAGGAACATGGCTTCTTGAAGAGAATATTATACTGCCTTACAGGATACTTGCCATGTATAGGCAAAATAGTAATCTTTACAGGACCTGTTCAAGGAATACTGCGTTGGTGCATTGGATATTGCACTTTTTGCATTGACTTCTATTAAAAAAGATTGCTGCACATTGACAAACACGCTACATATGGTACAGAAACATTTCTTGTTTAAGGGATATAACACCATTTGGAAGAAGATTACACTTCTTGACAAGGAATGCTGCGTCCTTTAGAGGATTCCTCCATATTTTGTAGGGGTATTGATTATTGAAAAACCGTTGTATTATCTCAAAAGAAAACTGCAAATGAATGAACAATGCCTCTTTGCAAGCAGGAGACTCTTCATTGTTACATTCAATATTACTTACATTTTAGGGCAGGAATGCACTACGTTAAACTCATGCTACACTTTATAGAAACATAGTTACCCTTCAAAGGAATTCTGTACTTCTTTTGAAGATACCCTGCATCTTTTAGAAAAATAAAGTTGTATTTTGCAAGGGATGGCGGACAGGTTTATGCAACTATTTCAATGCTATTACCCTCTGGTAAACTAACATAGCTATGGAAAATCACCATTTTTAATGGGAAAATCCACGATAAATGGTCATTTTCAATAGCTATGTTAAATTACCAGAGGGTATTAGGCTGCAAATATATTTGATTATGTTTCTTCCTGAATTGTGTGTATGCATGATGATCCTTGGCCTTATGGCTCTGATGTATTTACTTACATTTAGTTGCATTCAATAAGAACAGCAGATAAAAGATGTCATTCACAAGGTGACTCTTACACAATAAATATGGTCTTGCATGGGAATTGCACGGAACTAGATTATATCCAAGAACTGCTGAATAAAACCATGACCTTATGGATTTATGGTGATTAAAAGTGCAATCTGTTCATATTCTATTTAGGAATTGCAAAAGAAATGGGGCGAGGGCCAAGTGGTACTGTACTGTACTTGAGTGGCTGTGTATCCGTAAAACAGCTCATACGAAGAAGGCGGGCCAACAGGTGCGGGCAAGACGAGGTGGTGTTTGGCTGAAGTAAAACGAAAATGCTGGACAACAAAAAGTAGGTTTTTTACTATAAATACCAGCAAAAAATGCTAAACGTAGGTTCTGGTGGGGGGGGGGTTACCATATATATACATATATATATATCCCATGTATATCCCATTAGTATCCCATTAAGATTCCCCAATCATTCCACCCTGCTTTTCTACGTGGCGATCGCCGGCCTGACCCAGGGTGAGTGTCTTCGACGTGCGACATGGAACTCAGGCGTGGGGCGAGTGGCGGATATCACTGATATAATATATACTCGCTGGTAAACTAACATAACTATGGAAAATCCCCATTTTTAATGGGCAAATCAACTATAAATGGCAATTTTCAATAGCTATGTTAGTTTACCAGAGGGTATGTATATATATATATGAGCTACAACCAAAGTTTACGGTAATGGATAGTAGTATTCGAGGCATCTATTTTTTGGAAATTGAGCGGGGGCATGGAAAATGATGTATATACATACACATATGATATATGAATATGTATAGATACTGATTTAATATGTATGTGATATAGAGATGACCCAATTAGCATCCCAATATATGTATAGATATATATTAAATGATATATGAAATGAGATTTACCCCATAGATAATGCCATAACTTATGAATCCCATAGATATGATAATGAGGATATATTGGGTTGAATTTTCATGGGATTTGATTCGGATTTGGGATTTGTGTGTTCAAAACCCCAGTTGGTTGATTATTTTAATGGGGATTTCACCACTATTTATAGGGGTTCAACCATCAATAATATGAGGATATGAGTGTATGTAACTGATAAATGATGGTTGGTTGATGATTAGTTGGGGGATTACACTACCCTTTATATATTGGTGATTATAACGGTTATTTTATAATAATCCAATAGGGGAATCCCGTTTTAACCAAACAATGGAATGACAGAAGAATTTTGAACAATGCTCAAGAGCAATTTACCTAATGCATAGTAATGTTAGCGAAACACGATACTGTATCCCCATCTACCGTATGTTATGTTGAAAATGCAGGGTTACACTGTTAAGACAGCGTTCCATACAGAAAAGCATTTAGGCATGACTTAGGCGTGACATTGTCTTTTCCCTTTAGCTATGGTCTACGTAGACCATTCAGTTTTGATGATTTACTGTAACAGAGGGTAAATCATTTTAAATGGGGACACGGTATATACAAACCAGTTTTTTTTGTTGCAGGTGTACCTAAGACATGCTTGCTGACTCAACCCACAGATGATGTTTACCCTCCGGTAACGCTGGCTGTAAAATCCACCAAACCTCCATTGAGTTTGGGGACTTTCAGTTAGCCATGCTTGATAACCGAAGGGTAAGATGGATTGATGCTGAAAAATTGGGGTTATTGACTTATTGACCTACCGGGCTTTCTCATGGGTTTGGGAAAACTCGGTTTCTCTTATCCAAAGTGGGAACCTGGACTGGCTAGTAGCGATGGCAGAGGTTGTGGGACACTGCGCAGATTTCGGTAATCATACATAGCAATTGGAAATCCGCTATAAACGGAGGTTTATAGCTGTGAAAAGCAACTATAAATGATGGATTTTCCTTTGCCACGTTTGATTACAGGAGGGTCATGAAAGCAGTGTCATGGTGGTTTTAAGCAGCGGTGTCACGGGGCTGATTGAGGATATAGTCCATGACAAATCGATGGATTCAACAATAATCTGGGTAAATTATAACGACCTCACTGGTCTCCCTCACTGGAATCATAGTTAATAAGGGAAATCATCCCCAAATGGCCCAACAATTCAGGTTAGTGAAATATTATAATTTACCCAGATTTATGGAAAATCACCATGTTCAATGGATAAATCCACTATAAATCATTATAAATCAACATTTTCAATAGCTATGTTAGTCATAACCAGATGGTAATAGGAATAATGGGGCCACTGCCAGCAATATCAATGGTGAACTTTGGTGTCTTAGACAGATTTTTTCCAAGAGTTATAGCACGGTGGAGCTGTTTAAAGAACCCAAAATAGAAAGAACGCAGAATATTAACGGGATATTCCTGGGATATGAAATCGGATATTGACAGGATAACAATGGGCAAAAAAAAATACATTCAATGTACAGCAACAATAGGGATCTACAGTATATATATATCTTCTGGTCATTTCACATAGCTATTGAAAATGGCCATTTTGTTCGTTGATCTACCCATTAAAAAAGGTTATTTTCCGGTCATTTCACATAGCTATTTGGTAATTTCACATAGCTATCAACATATACTGGTAATATATATATCTCTTCTCGTATATGTGTATATGATCTAATCTGGTTGGTGGTTTGGAACATTTTATATTTTTCCATATATTGGGAACAATAATCCCATTTGACTTTCATATTTTTCAGAGGGGTGGCTCAACCACCAACCAGTAACAAGTATCTAGCTATTGAAGATCCAATATATTATCTAGCTATGATCTAATTGTTATCTGGCATATATCTATATGTTATCTAGCATGGTTATCTATATCTATATATAATACATATGTATATATATATATGAATGATCACCCATATCATTCAAGATCATTAACCATATAATAACCATATAATAATCATATATTAACAGTATATTAACCAACATTACCTTAAAAAAAACTGTCCATTTCCATCCCCCATGGGCATGCGTCGATCCCCGGTGAATCCACCAGAACTGGCGCTGGCATGTCGTCCGTCCCGGTTCAGTTCGAAAAAACACCGTGCTTTTGCTGGTGATGTCTCAGTTCTATTCATTTCATCTTATTTCAGTTCATTTCATTTTAGTTCATTTCATTTCATTTCTATCTTGAGTTCAGAAAAAATATGGTTGGTGGTTTTGAAGCTTCAAATATGGTGGGGACCCTATTTCGATAAACCAGCCCGAGATATGAGACCACCACCAGGGTGGGAGAAAAACCATCCGGATTAATTTTCCATGCTTCGTTGCTAAAGGCTAACATATTAAATCATGGTGTTTCCCACGCTTTCTGTTGTGTTTCATGATTCTTGAATCATCTTAAATCCACATTAAATCCGGATTTTCACCATATTTCTCATCTTAACTCCACATTAAGTCCAGATTTTCACCATATTTCTCATCTTAAATCCACATTAAATCCAGATTTTCACTCGTTTTTTCCGTGTTTCACCAACCTTTTTTCAACTCATCTGATTCGACTTCCACTTCAGCACCAGGTCCTAGATCTCTTCCCAGAAGGCGCATGGCTGTCGCACGGGCAGCATGGCTTTAGAAAAATCGTCGTTGACTTGGATGAAATTAAGGGTACCCCTATTTTAGGAACCCCCCATATATATATATATCTGGTTGGTGGTTTGGAACATGGTTTTTATGACTTTTCATAGATTGGGAATTTCATCATCCCAACTGACTTTCATATTTTTCAGAGGGGTTGAAACCACCAGCCATATATATATATATCCATATATATCCATATACGGTATGTGTTATGTATTTTTCTACATGAATGGATGATGTCTTTTAAAGTGAATGTATTCACTGACTAATCACTGATGATAGATCTTGGAGATTGTCATAGTGGCAATCCCGTTCTTAACGATTCACCAAATGGATTGACTCAGCTGCTGATTACAGGCGCTTCGACTACCCTCTGGTAAACTGCCCCATAACTATGGAAAATCACCATGTTTAATGGGAAAATCCACTATTTCTATGGTCATTTTCAATAGCTATTTTGACATACCCAGAGGGTACCCTTTATATCCTTGGGACTATCATAGTGATTCATCCAGGCGCTAAAAATCACCATGACATGATTCCGCGGATCTAGAAAGGTCGGTTTTTTGATCGTTAAAAACATCTCCGTTGTGGTGGGTTGTAATCCACAGATCTCCCTACTTTTTGCTGATATCACCATTATATAGGGATATGTGGGGATATTCCCAATTGTATAATGGCTATATTCTCAAATATATGTTATGGAAATATAGAAACGTATTATAATTGTTGCATATCCCACATAATCTCAAACATATTGGCTATATTCCCAATTATATATATATACATATGCATGCAATTGTATATGATTTCTCCGTAAAAAAACAAAGAACAAACCTCATACCATCATTCAGTGGCCATTTGAGGAACCTCAATGGGAGGGTTTGATGAAAAAGGCTCCTGAAATTCCCATTAAAAATATCGTTGAATCATTGAATTTCCCCAATCAAAAAACCATCATACACCGTGTTTGTTGCAACAAAATATCAATGGATTGGTTTAAGTGAACATTTACAGGAAAACCCATATTTAAAGTAATGGAAACATCTATGCATATTTAATGGTAAAAACCATGGTTTCCTGTAATTAGATTGAAAACCCATATTTAATGGAAAACATCTATGGTTTCATGTAGATTTCCCTTAAACCAATCCATTGAATCATTGAACATCCCACACTTTTTGCCAAGCTCCCGGGGTCACGGCGCAACAAAAACCAAACAAAAAGGCGGCGCATCTTCGGCTGCGGCCGTGACCTGGGCAAATGCGGGGGTTGTGATGGAAAAAAGGGCCATAAATGGGGTTCTGAGGTTTCCGAAAATGAGGGTACCCTCTGGTAATTTAACATAGCTATTGAAAATGGCCCATTTAGTTCGTTGATTTTCCCATTAAAAATGGTGATTTTCCATAGCTATGTTAGTTTACCAGAGGGTACCCCCAGTTCTCATCCATTTTTTCGGATTTTCCATGAAATAAACCTAGCATTTTTGAATACCACCATAAATATACCACCATAAATAAGGGTACACCCCCATAAATGGCAGTTTCTTAAGGGGATTCCGAAAAACCCATCGGTAAAAAAAAACTACAAGTTTGGGTGGGAATGACTTGGATGATTTTGGGTAGCATTTTACAACACACTTTCATTTGGTTCGATGGTTTCGCTATTTGGCAGTGTGTCAAAACCTTGTACCCCTGGTGAACATCAAAATAGCTGGTAAATGGATGTTCATCCCCCTAAAAATGGTATTAATAGGTATTGACCCAACCCCATTTATTTGGGGGTTTCCTAAATAAGGGATCCCGAAAATGGATGGTTGATAATGAAAAATCCGAAGATAACAGAAAAATCAGAAAATAACATGGAGTACCCCCCCATTTTGGGAACAAAAACCATTGCTTGTTTTTTTTTTCACCTCTTGTTGCAATACTTACTAAGGGTGGAAAGTTGGCAAACAACCATGTAATCCGGACAATTCCCCCTTGACGGCAATCACTAACATGGCTATGGAAACCATGGCCCATTTAGTTCGATGATTTAGTGAACTGTTAAACTACCAGAGGGGAAGTGGATTATTTGGTTACCCTACGGTAATCAAACATCCCTGGGAAATCCACAAAAGATTGGCATTGAAAGCGTAAATCATTTGAAATTGGAGTTTCACCAACAGTAAGCAACAATGATGGGGATATAATGTGGATATAAGTGGACATATAGTGGGATCTACCCTCTGGTAAACTCACATAGCAATTGAAAATTGCCATTTACAGTTGATTTTCCCATTAAAAATTCTGATTTTCCATAGTTATGTTAGTTTACCAGAGAGTATACATATTTCATTGTCGATCTAAAGGTCCATGTAGAGATTGTCCATTACAAAGGCCGCCAGGGTTCCAACATGAGATCCCGTGAAAGTTTTTCTGACTTCGCGCAAGCATGTTTTTTTGGGTGAAAGATTTAGCGACATATTCTGGTTGGTGGTTTGGAACATGAATTTTATTTTCCATTTCATATATGGGATGTCATCCTTCCCATTGACGAACTCATATTTTTCAAGATGGTTATTGCACCATCAACCAGTATCGTAATCAATCATATGCCAATGTTCAAAAATAGTTCGGTGATTTTGAAGTGGGCAATCATAATCCTAACTGACTAATATTTTTAAGAGGGGTAGGTATACCACCAATCAGTATTTAACATGAGACCCCCGCGAAGGATAATCGTGGGCTTCGCGAAAGATTCTGGCGAAGGATAACATTTTCTATTTGCGAAGAATGGCCGTTTGCAGACAAAGGACTTTAGATCAACTGCCATTTGTGTTTTGGGCATTTACCCTCTGGTTATTTAAAATAGCCATGGAAGCCATGGCCCATTTATAGTGGATTTACCTATTATAAATGGTGTTTTTCCATGGCAAACTGTTAGTCATAACCAGATGGTAACATATTTTCAAGGAAGAGACAAACAATGGCATATGAACAAAGAAACTTGGATATTCACAGATCAAACCAAAAGAACTGGATTCATTTTCGACTATTTCAGATCTTTTGAGATGTATCGAATTGAAGGTTTTCCAGCTCTTAAAGCGTTATGTCCGATTAAGTATATCCCATCACGTATTCCATTATGTCACCACTATATCTCCATTCTCCCGCTCTATCCCATGATATCCCGTTATATCATATATATATATACACCCATTATATCTCTATCAATATCACATTCAAATCCTGTTATACCTCCGTTACATCACCATTCTATCCCCATTGTATCTCATTCTGCCCAATCTATCTCAGCATGTCACCCAAAACGGATCTCGTGATATTCCGTTACATGCAGGATAGCAACCCTCAAAAGATAGACAGCAATTTCCTATAATGTTGGTCAAACAGTGATAAACCATCACCCAATTTCACCATAAATAGGTGGTATAAACCATTATCAAATGGGTGGTTCATTATTGTTTTACACCCATTATACTAAAGTAACTTTAAATTGAACCTTTTCTTTCTTTTTTGGGTGTTACTACACCGAATATCTTAACCAGCTGGCGCTTGAGTTGGGAATCGCTGAGTTGGTGCAAACAACTCCAGTAACTAGGCTTTCTTATATATATATATAGAGTTACTATGGTATTTTCACACCAAACATCACTTGATATATCATGATATCTCATGAGATATCTATAGTTACCATCCGATTTTCATGGATTTTCATGGATTCTCCTATGGATTTTCATGGATTTTCATGGATTCTCATGGATTTTCACGTATTTTCATGGATTTTCATGGATTTTTCTATGGTTTATGAAGCAACACACAGACATTTCACCGGGCAGCACAGTGTCACCGTTTAGGCCGCCGTTTCGGCATCACGCAGCTGAGGTGACCTCCACATGTGCGCAGCAGCTCAGTCAGCTGGTGGCCGTGGGGCATGCGGTGTCTCGACTGGTCACCATCTGTGATATATATATATATATATTGTACATGTATGTATATATGACCGTAACACTAGTATGGAATATAGGGATATAATGGGATATAATGGGATATAATGTATATATAATGTATTTGTGATCTGTATATCTAATGTGTATCTAATGTATATCTAATGTGTATCTAGTTTGTATCTAATGTGTATCTAATGTGTATCTAATGTATATATATATATAATGTATATATAATGTATATATAGACACATATTTCGACAGTTGAAACATATTGTATCCCTATGTTATATGTGTATATATACATGTACAATCTGTGATATGTATATATAATGTATATATATAATGTATATATAATGTATATTGTACATGTATGTATATATGACAGTAATAATAATAATAATATGGAATACAGGGATATAATGGGATATAATGTGTGTACATCATGTATATATATATATACATATATATGTATAGACCCTTTAATATACCTTATATATGTATATACAGACCTTATATATGTATGCATTATACTACTGTATGTATATATAACAGCAACAATCAAAAAGGAATATATATTTTTGGGATACAATGGGATAGCAAATGCATTGGTGAAAATAGGAGACCCCCAATTCCAGTGGAGGATATATCGCATTTTCCCCGTATTACACAAGTTATAACATGTTATAACTATTTTTGAGTATCCCCTACTTTCAGACAACACCAAATCTTCCCTGCCAGCCTGGCTGGCTGTTCACTTTCGTCCACTGAAAGTACTTGCCAAGATAGTTCCTAGATTGGTCTAGTCCCCTAAGATTCTTGAAATCGGGCACCCAAATCATGGCTGTTCCATGAAACATCACCAATCAGTTAAATGATAACTTGATGTGCCCCATGGTTTGGAACCCCCATGTGCCAGGGGCTTGTGAGTTTGCAGAATTGCATTTTGTCGACCCTTTTGGTGGCAGGATTTTTTGTGTGGTATCCCCAGACACACCTTTGATGCTAGCGTCAACGTGGCATTCTGCTCGAAAGGAGTCAATTGATGAACTCCACACTCTGCACTCAAGTAGCGGTTTCGATGAGGCAGACGCCGCAGCAGGCTACAGACCCTCGTGGCTTTTATTTTCGATCTACAAGACGGCGGACATAGAAATTTGGACATGTGGAAAATGTGGAAATAGAAAGGAAAAACGATCTACAGACCAACGGCGGACGTGTGGAAAAATGTGGAAAAACGATGCTCTACCCTAACCCTCACCAACCGATCAGCTGACTTTTTTCCACTGTTTTTCGCTGCCTGCCAGAGCTTTGGGTGGATGCTCCTGCTATATAATTTGAGAAAGCGACTTTTTTGATTTTTGAATTATAGCTACTTCTAGTAATCTGCCCAGAATATGTGGGAAGTAACTGGGAAAATGGGATATGAACCAACTTGACTTTGAAAACGAGATATTAAATGCTATTGACAATGACTCAGCAACAAAACGCAGAATATGCATGATGAGTTGGTTGAGGAAAGGATAGCAGTTTCTGTAACCACATGTAACCCCATATTTGAGCATCAAAGACAGGTGGTTCAACGCTCAGCTGGACGGGGCATGGCGAGCGGGAATTTAATGATAGGCTCCGTCAATATTGGGGAGTTCATCCTCAAAGTGGTCTATATGGGTATGGATCAATACCTATTAATACATATTAATACCATTTTTAGGGGAATGAACATCCATTTACCAGCTATTTTGATGTTCACCAGGGGCACAAGGTTTTGACACACTGCCATATAACTTGTTCTATTGGAAACACTGTGCAAGTGGAATTGCTATTCCCTTTTCGACAGGAAAGTAGTCATTTCCCTCTTTTCCCCCCCAATCCAAGTTTGTTGGTTTCTAACCAACACATCCAACGGCCCGTAAAGATATATGACATATGATTTGACAAATGATGATTTCCAGTTCGCAAACTGTTGGTCTACCCAATGTATCATGATACATCTCCAGGTTGATTTATAACCGCCATTTCACATCTATTAACTATAACATACTATAACTATAGACTATGGATATATCTAACAATATCTAATATGTCCACAATATATGTATATGTATCTACAATATAGACTAATCGGATATATCTATGGATATATCTAATATCTATCTGTATATATATATATATTCTGCCATAAAATAAAACAGATAGATAGATAGATAGATAGATAGGTAGATAGATAGATAGATAGATAGATAGATAGATATGTATATATATATAAACAGATAATTCTATTTTATGGCAGATATCTATTCTTTCTTAATTTCCAACACATGTTTTCGCTTAGGATAACAAGGCGCGATTGCTGGACCTGCCGTCCGGGAGGCCGGCCTCGGGACATCGCTGGCCTCGGTGTTCGGAAAAATCGGGTGATGATCTGCTGGGAAAATGACCAATTTGTAGTTGATTGGTGGACTTCACCGGGAAAATATATGAAAATATGGTGTCTGTATATGGATTAATGGTGGATTAATGGCATATAATTCCAATACCCGGCCTGGGATTTACATGGTTTGCTATGGGTTTTATGGGAAAAACATGGGAATATATGGGGATACCCTCTGGTAAACATACAAAAAGCTAACTGGAAAATGGCCATAGCAATAGTGTGTTTTCCCATGAAAAATGATGATTTTCAATAGCTATGGGACAGTTTAACCAGAGGGTAGCTATGCAGAATGGTGATTAACGTGATTAACGAGGTGTAACTAGTGATTTTCCATAGCAGAACGTTCCTGAAGGGCAATGAAGAATGGGGGGTTGAAATCTAGAGTCAGTAGGATTTCGGCTGCCTGTACATCTTTTTTTTGGAACGGACCAAAGCAACAACAACAGGTAGATAGGCGAAAAACTTTACGGGGACTTCAAAAAAAGAGGTTCGGTGCGGTTGTTCGAGCGGTTTTTCGAGCGCTTTGCCAGTTAGTGGGACAGCAAGAAAGCGGATTTGGATGATGATGGATGTCAATGATCAAACAACGGGTCATTTTCCAGAGAAAACTGCTAGTTTACCAGAGGGTATTTTCCTGACTACTTGGGAACATCATGGAATATCTTATATCAATGGGAATTCCAGGATCCTAAAATGGAGGTACTGTACCATATAAGGCCATATTTTGTGGTGATATGCACTTACATAGGCCTGAAAAATAGGCCTTATATATGGTAGGTACCTCCATTTTAGGATCCTGAAATTCCCATTGATTATATCTTTGGCAAATGCCTGACATCATTGGAACCCACAGTAAGTCTAGTTATAAATCCACATAAATCCTATTACCTAATATGCACTGATTCTAAACCCGTATAATTCCCTCACTATTGTCGGCAAATCAGTAAATCAGTATATATATATATATATCCCATCTAAATCTTGATTGACCTTCCATTTCAAGATCCCATTAACACCAATTCAACATGCTAGGTTCCACCTAAAACCCATTCAAACCCAGTGAAAAATCATAAAATTGCTGGAATTTCATGGGAAAACTGAGCCTTTTTTCGGCTCCTCTCCAATTTGTTCAACGATCCCGGTCCAGGTTCGTTGGTCAGGTGAAACATCCCGAATGCGTGACTGCCGTGATGTTGGATCCGACCAATGTGCCCTGACCGAGTTTCGTTTCCGAGTTTCGATGTTTCGATGAATTTTGGGCAATCCAGGTGAAACATATTGAAAAATACTGGGGACTGATGGGAAAATGATGGGAAATGGGAAAATGATGGGAAAATGATGGGAAAATATGGAAAATAATGCTGAATTGATAGCCGAAATTGATGGAACAATAAAACAAAGATCACTGAATATCAAATGATTTGAATTATTTCGGATTTAATGGGATAATGGGAATTATAATATGAATGAATGGGACAATGGTGGGGATAAAATCTGGATGAATTTGATCATGACCTCATGTCGTGACGAGACAAATGAATGGTGTTTATACATGGGGAATCATCTAGCAGAGGGCGGCAAATTTCCACCTGTTTCGACCAGGTTGGTAAATCATCATGATTCAGCCTGGGTTATAGATGACAAGAAATTGTGACTAACCCGAGAGATAGATTCAAGACTTGAATAGTTGCCACTGAAGTTGATCGAATTCCAGTTTCCATCACTTTCCTGCATCTCTTTTTGCGGGGTTGCATTGAACCTGGCATTTTTTTCGTGGGTGGATCGTCCAATGGAGGACCATTTTTGTTTTCCATGATTCTGGCGGGATTTAGCCTCTACTAACATAGCATTGGAAAATCATGATTTCTATAATTCGTCAATGATCAAACAACGGGTCATTTTCCATAGAAAACTGTTAGTTTACGGGAGGGTATCATGATTTAGCCATCAGTCAGAAATAGTACCCTCTGGTAAACTAACATAACTATGGGAAATCACCATTTTTGATGGGTAAATCAAATATTTCAAAAAGGCCATTTTCAATAGCTTTTACTGTTGGTTTACCAGAGGGTAGTCATGAAAGATGGCATCAACTGTGGGATGTCGAGGTGCAGTTTAGATGACGATGTCGTGGTGTTTTTGGGCCGCGAAATCCGACTTTATGCCATGAAAGAATTCCATCAATTTTTGCGGTGTTTCATAGTTACCATCGTTACCCTTCTGGTTATTCAACATAGCCATGGAAGCCATGGCCCATAGAAATAGATGGTTTACCTATTAAAAATTGGGATTTTCGATGGCTATGTTGAATAACCAGATGGTACCATAGTTACCGATGTTGAATTAGGTTACCATAGTTTCCAATAGTGCATAGTTTTTTTTTAAATTATTTTATACTCGCAAATTTTGGTCCCATTATTTACAATGTTGAATTAGGTTACCAATACCCTCTGGTAAACTAACATAGCTATATTGAAAATGGCCCAGTCGAAATAGTTGATTTTCCCATTAAAAATGGTGGATCTTTCCAGTTCGTTTTTTGTCAAAGTGTTTACCAGAGGGTAAACCTCCATTTTCCTATGGGTTTTCCCATATTTTCCTATGGGTGTTCCTATGGTAATCATCATTTCTTCATGAAATGATGGAAGCCCAAATCCAGTGCATGGCTGGTGCATGGCTTCTCCACCTGATTCCTCCGATGTCATCAGGGATTTTGAAGCCCGGAATCCCCAGAAAATATAGGGATAATATAGGAAAAATGGGGTAATGATGGTTAATGTTGGTTCATACTGTTCATATACTGTTAATATACTGTTAACATACTGTTAATATACTGTTAATATATGGTTATTAGTTTATTAATCCCCATTTTAAGTTGCCTTAAACCCGGAAATATGAAGTACATACAGTGGATGGGTGCGAAAACCTTCACCAGTTGTTAGGTGGTATTTTTTTTAAATGGTTTCAGTTTCAACTATCCTTTTGGTGGTGCAGGATTTCGCTGGCCCATCCACAGTATCATCTCCCCTAAAAGGATGGCGAGGTTGAAAAATCCATCCTCTGATCAGATAAAACACAAAAAGTTTTTTTCCTTCAGGGGATCGAATATCTGCCATGATTTGTAGATGATTTTCCATTTTTTTCCCATAAAAAAGTGACTTTCCAGCCATGGTTTGATTCGAATGTTTGGTACAAACGAGCAGTTTCAAAACCACCAGTTGGTCGAGGGGTTGACCCACCCCTTGACTTGGGATTACCCTCTGGTAAATAAACAGTTCGACCCTGAAAATCACCCATTTTTAATGGAAACTAGTCTTCCAACCCCGACAACTGCCAGGGTCGAACTGTTAATTTACCAGAGGGTAGCATAATCCACGAACTATGAATCATCATAAAAACAATCCCCAATCGAGGTTGCGGAAATTGGGTGGACCCCAATCCCTGTGAGATGATGATTGAACATTACCTCCAAATGCTTACCCGGCCTGGTAAACCAGCTGCGAACTTGAAAATGGCCCAGTCGAAATAGTTGATTTATGTTGATTTACTCATTAAAAGTGGTGGATCTTTCCAGTTCGTTATGGGACAGCTTACCAGAGGGGAAAATGTTCTGATCCAAGCCTCAGCCTCACTGTAATAGTCACTATGTGAGGGGATTCATCCCTACATAGCGAGCACCGAATCGTATGCTGCGATTCCGAATCGTCGAAAAAATTCCGCGGATTCCATGGGCCCAATGGGCTGTTCATTTTTGGGGCGGCATCATTCAGAAGTGATTTCGTCCCATGGTTTTTCCTGCTTCAACCATGTTCAACCATCATTTTCCATGGTTTTTCCATGGGTTTTTCCTGGTTCTCAACATGGTTTTTCCTGGTCATCCTGCCTGAAAATGGATTTTTTGGCGGTAAATCCACCAATTTTCAATGGCAAACATGGACTGCTGGGTAGATTATAGCGAATGTTCGACCTGCAAATGAGGCTTTTTATTCCACAGAAGAAAAGGGAAATGGTCCCAAAACATCCAAAAACATATCGAACATGGCGGTCAGGTCCATTTCGAGAATGATTTTTGCGAAATGGGTGTATGTGAAAATAAAGTATACCCCCAAAATTGCATTTTTAGTGGACAAACCATGACTGGTTGGTGGTTTGGAACATGAATTTTATTTTCCATTTCATATATGGGATGTCATCCTTCCCATTGACTAATATTTTTCAGAGGGGTAGGTATACGACCAAAATCCACCAACCAATTACTAATGAACATAGTTTCAGTTACCTGTTACCCTCTGGTAATTTAACATAACTATGGAAAATGACCATAGAAATAATGGATTTTCCCATTAAACATGGCGATTTTCCATAGTTATGTTTGTGAACAAACCATGATGATCACATGAGATTCTTGGGTTTTTTTCAGACACAGCCACATGGGGACTTCACCCAGTTAGATGAATATCCAATCCAAGGTTTACCTCATTTACCACCGTTGTTCTCTTTCAATAAACTTAAAACGATCATACGTATAGATTGATGTGCGAAATCAAAATTATGTCAATTCATGTGCATATATATATATATATGCATGTATACATATGGAGTCTTTCCACACACACACATAATTATCATATGCATATAATTATAATTTTACATACAATACATACAATACAATACAATACAATACAATACAATACAAATACAATAATACAATACAATACGCTACAATACAATACACTACACTACAATACAATACAATACAATAATACAATACAATACAATACAATACAGTACAGTACAGTACAGTACAGTACAACACAACACAATACAATACAATACAATAATACAATAATACAATAATACAATAATACAATAATACCTACATACCTGCATACCTGCATATCTGCATACCTGCATACCTGCATACCTGCATACGACCTGCATACTTGCATACCTGCATACCTGCATACCTGCATACCTGCATACGACCTGCATACCTGACCTGCATACCTGCATACCTGCATACCTACATACCTACATACGTACATACGTACATACGTACATACGTACATACGTACATACGTACATACGTACATACGTACATACGTACATACGTACATACGTACATACGTACATACACATACGTACATACGACATACGCATACACATACACATACGACATACACATACGTACATACGTACATACCTACACATACCATACGTACATACCTACATACGTACATACGTACATACGTACATACGTACATACGTACATACGTACATACGTACATACGTACATACGTACATACGTACATACATACATACAGACATAGCTACATACAGACATACATACCTACATACCTACATACCTACATACCTACATACATACCTACATACCTACATACCTACATACCTACATACCTACATACCTACCTACCTACATACCTACATACCTACATACCTACATACATACATACCTACATACCTGCAGACCTGCATACCTGCATACCTGCATACCTGCATATCTGCATACCTACATACCTACATACCTACATACCTACATACCTACATACGTACATACATACATACATACATACATACGTACATACGTACATACGTACATACGTACATACGTACATACGTACATACGTACATACGTACATACGTACATACGTGCATACGTACATACGTACATACGTACATACGTACATACGTACATATATACGTACATACGTACATACATACAGACATACATACATACCTACATAGCTACATACCTACATACAGACATACATACATACATACCTACCTACAGACATACATACATACATACATACCTACCTACCTACATACCTACATACATACGTATATACATGCATGCATGCCTGCAGGCATGCATGCAATTGTATATATATATATAATTGTATGTATACGCCTGCATACATACTTACTAGGTGCATTGCACCCAGGGAGAGGATGTCCGTCCGAACATTTGTCCAGCCACAGAACAACCGAAGCTGCTGCTGCTTATAAAAGGCTTATTACTCTGCGTTGTACACTTCTTGCAAACTTAACCTCGCGGCCTGCCGCAGTCAGACGGAGGAAGGGCCGATGGGGTTATATAATTATATATATATAATACACTGTATCTTTTTCGGTTCGCGGCTTTCCCGTTTCGGAGAACCCACGCTTTCGCTTGCTGTGCATGGTTCGACGGTCC